TGTTCATCCACCCATTTCTCTGTCTCATCAACAGCTTTTGGAGATGAATTCAGGAGGACTGACACTACATCCTTTACCCACTGGGGTGTTATGATAATCTTCAGCCTCTCGACATCCTGCGCAAAGTGTGGGATGATGGAGAAATTCAAGTCATTTCCTTTGTCTCCAGCCCTACCATGGGCTATACTATAGAGCGGAATCTTTTGCCTAGACTGAGAAGCAGAGAGGCTGGTTTCTGGTGATGAACAATCTAGGCAAGAATTGTGCATATCTTCTTGTGGGAATGGTGGCAATGCAGGTTCATGCAAAACACAGGCCTTCAGAACATCTCGAAAGACATGTTTCTGACATTTTGATTCACTGACTTCTGTTTGCTTTGCCGCTATCCGCCAGAAAATATGTTCACGTCCAATCTAAGTGGAAGAACAAAGTTATAGGTATTTGTTAAGATATTTTTTGAGCTACTTAACAATTATAGGACATAAACTTGAATCAAAAGCTTAAATGTAAAGGTTAAGGAAAGAAATTGTTGTCTATTAGCAAAAAGGTAATCTGCATACTACAAAAGATTATCATAACTAAAGCATATCCAAAACCAAGTGAATTCAATAGTTTGAAAATGAGAGTTTGGCTCAATTACAGTTTCGAGTTCAACACAAATCAATTCATGGACTAAGGTATTACTTAGATGGAAGGAGGGGAGTGGGAGAGTACCAATTGCTTTTCCAGAATAATCTCCTTTTTAAGCCCAGTGCTGCATTAGATAATAAAGAAAAAAGTTATAGGTTGAGCACAAAGATCATTGAGCCAAGGAAGAAAGTAGTAGATAGTTGCTCTGAACAGAGAGTTCTAAATATAAACAACGGTAAGATGCATGCATGATACCGTGACTAGATTCTTATACATGATAAACAAGACTAAAAGTGTGCAGTTCATAAAAATTGGAACCAGAACTTTACGCATGAGTTATTGGCAGTTAATTGTTTGTATTTGGATATTTCAGTTTTCTTCTTGTCAGGAGTTTCACAGTAACATGCATGATCAGGTAAATGTATACAGCTTTACAGTAGATACAATAGACATAAAATTAGAAGAAAATATACCTGATACCACCACCTCCGGCTGGTCCGTTTGTATATAATGCAGTAAACTCTTTAACAAGTTGCTCTGCGTGTTTCTTCTCCTGGAACAATCCATCCATGCGTAGTCTAATATCTTCACTTGCCCTCAATGTTGATGAATAGTTATCAATGCTGGTAGCTTTCAAGCTATCAAGTCCAATTATATAAGAAAGAACACAGCAACTGACACCAGGAAACACCTCTTCCATCCATGACCTAACCTAAAATATGAAAAAAGGAAAGTGATATAAAAAATCCAATGGAACCAGTGAGCGAAGTATCTGGAATGCATTTACAGACAAGGATCTATTTCAAAGAATGTCATCTCAAATTAAGAAATGAATAAACCATCAAACAGTTTTTTACAGTAGCCCTACCAGAAATTCAGCAGCTTTAGCACGTTTAACACATTGATATCCTCCATACGATATCTCACCCCATGCTTTCCATCCACAGTCCTAGATAAAAGACAAATTAGAACTTAGGAGGAATGGAAGAAATTAACCTTTCTGAGACGACATTAAACCCACTGGGGTAATATCTCTGACTAGAAAATACTTGTGACAACTTGGGCTGTCGGGGGGACTGCAACCAGGAGTAGCAAGGGTATTCCCTCAATCACATAAGATTACCAAAATAAGAATCCTACTAAGGCAAAATAGATAGGAAAAAAAAGTAAACTAATATTTGAAATTTTATATCATTTCAAGTATTACCATGTAAGATCAGATTAATCATCTAAAAGTGTTGATCTGCCTTTTATCTCTCTCACCTCCAGCCATCTGCTCCCAAATACACACAGGCAAGCACACTCGAAACACGTAGATGAAAAAAGTGGATAATCAGGTTATGCTTAACGCATGGCACTAAGAATCCACTGAGCACACAAAACCCCAGATCTGCTAGATTGAACCTACTAGCCATCTACTGAATACTTGAAACTAACAGAAAAGCTCTCATAAGCTTAAATATCACCTTCAGAATAGAAGGTTACCTTTGGAACCAACTGCAAAAGTTTATCAGGTACAGGATGAGCAGAAGGCTTTGCACCAATACAAAGAACTTTAGAGCTAGATAATGGCTGGAATGAGACACCCTGAAAATCAATTACCTGCATTTACAAGATGCCTATTTTTGTTTAATATTCCCTTTCATTGCAGTTGCAGGTAAAATTTCCAAAAATGCATTTTGACTTACAACATCAGGCGTAATATAAGCACTTGGATCACCGACTTCATAAAGCAGTTGTTCAGCACATGTACTGAAATTTAAAACCCCACCACTACCTTCTGCCTTCATGACACTTACTTCCCCACTGAACGAAATTTCAGCATATGGCAGTGATAGATCCAGGAGGTGTGAGAATGACAAGTTTCGGTGCTTGTCCGCTAAATTAGAGAAAATGCAGTGCATTGAAACCAAGTGAATCAGAATTCTCTGTTTTAATTGACCTATTTCTGTGTTATTTATTGAGACAAACAAAACCTAATTCACCTGGATGCATGAAGTATCCCCCCGTGAGTTGACAACCACACTCTAGAAGATGGCCAGCCAGAGATCCCTGCGCTAATAGCTCCAAGTCATCCCAATTCCAGCCCAGTTCATAAACCTAATCACACACAAGTGAGATCATTCTGATTAAATTTCAAAATGCAAAATCATAGCTTAGCCATCAAAAAAGCAGCACTTCATCTATTCATGCTGTCAAATATATTATGCGAATTAATGTGGAGAATCATAATGGCAGATAAGTAAAACTAATTTGATGTTCAAAGTCATGAAAACCTAGAGAAATTATACCAAGAGTCTGAAAGGAAACAGCTAAAGCAGAGTAATGAAAAGAAAGGATAAGTTTCCATACCATTGGTGCTAAGAATAGTGCAGCATCAGCAACCCTTGAAGTAATTACAACATTTGGTTGATATCTTTCCAAACATTCAACTATTGGAGCAGCTCCCAGATATGTGCTAATACCCTTCAGAGATTAAACGAAGCTGAGGTCAAGATTTGCATTCCTCTGTAATTTCCATGACTAAATATGGGAAAATGCAAATGCTAATGAAAACCTAACCACATATCATTTTACACATGTCCATAGATAAAAATCTAAAAGGCAAAAGAAATCTAAACTATGAAGAAGCAAGAGAGCAATTGCAGATATAAAAAAGAAGACCAGTGAATGGTACAGGCAAGGAATACCAGATTCTTACACCATCCATGATAACTGGCTTCTCAGACAAGGGTCCTGAACCTGAATAATGGAAATAGATCTTTGCATTTGGAGTCATGTTGCTAAACACAATGAAGCAAAAAGTTCTGCAATGCATTCAATATACACACAGACTGTATTTGCTAAAATAAAGATCATACCTCACCAGCTCATACATGACTAATATAAATTTAAGCGGTCAACTGGCCAAGCATACCTGACTCATTAACAAACACCTCATGAGCCACAGCAACAGACACACTGAGCCCTAGGCTGCTGGCTATTTCTAAAACCTTCTCTTGAGCACCAAGTGGATCCACTATTCAGAAATGATTCAAATGATATGGCCAAAATGAAAAAAAAATGATCACCGATTAAATGAAACATCAAGGCAAAGCATTTTGTGAAATTTAGCAGACAACGTAACATTTGAATCTTTGTCTTCAAATTCCATACTTGCACCCATGTTGGTAATTATACAAGTTCCCCTTTCCACAGCCAAAGGTAGTAGCAAAGACATCCACTCTGAAACTGAAAAATTAACAGCAGTAAAAACATTAGAGAAAAACCAACAATAAAAATATAAGTAAGTTACAACTCAAAACGATTGACAGGAATGTTAACATACTATTAGAATCATAGCCATCACCACCAGACACCATAGCCCGGTACCGCTCAGCAAGGGTGCGCTCTGCTAAACATTCAAGAACAATATAATCCAGCTCTTTGACTCTGTTAAGCAACTTCAGAGCAGCCATTGGCCTGTCACCTCCAAACCCAGCTCCACTACCAATGTAAACTTTGTCTTTTCTTCTTTGACGATTGATTCTCTGCAGTTCAACACATTCAACTATTCATCATCTGGAAACTGCTTTGCTCTTTCACTATAGAAATCGATATATCGAGTCAAAGCAAACTACACCAACCTGCTTGATCATGCAGTTATAAATCTCACCACAGCTCTGCTTCTCCATTGATTTTTGTTGGAAAATTAGCTGATTATGCACAAAACAAACCAATTCAGAAAATCCCCTTTGTTCAAGAGGAAGCTAACAGTTATGAAATTGTCTCACCTGTCACCTCCAAGTTTCCTTCTCCAGATTCGAGACTATAGCCCTCCCTGGAGTCAAACTGAGTAGTTTCTTAATTAGAGTTCAGAAAACAGAATCAGGGTTATTAAATATTATATATGAAGATTAATGATGCACTAGTGCTTTTCATTCTAGCATCAAATGGGTTCGGTTTGAGTGCTTTTTTGCAGCCATTTTCACATGAAGCCCATTACATTTTCAAGCCTCATTATTTTTCATCCAAAGCCCAAATTCATTTTTCACCTTAAATTCAAAATTACTAGACCAAAATATTATATAAATTTATTTTCTTAAGATTTTAATTACTATTTTAGGACAGATCATGATGGGAAAGTAATAAATCAGAAAATGGATGGGGGAATTGATTATGGCCTAAAGTCGAAAACCGAGGCTCCACGTGCCCGAGCTCCCTTTGGACTTTGGTGGTGGTTGATCGTTATCCTCAACGTGGATTACCACTGTCAACTTCACCTTCACTTCCAGCACGTGCCACGCACCGTCCAACCAGATCGCTTCCCTTACAACTCTCCCGTGAAACACACGCCCTCTGTTTTCTACTTGTCGCCAGAAAATCCCAGTAGTAAGCTTGCTTTTAATATTTTTTATTGGAAACAGTTTTCTTGGTTGAAGCAGGGGAACATCTCGACCGTTGGTTCCCGACCTTCTTCATTCTTAACACGTTTCTTCAGTTATTCTTCATTCTCCTGAAACCCTAATTTCTAAGCACCAGCAGCTTCTCCTCTACAACATTCTGGTAATCTTTTTTTTTTTTTACTTTTCTGTTTCTAATTTTGGATAAAAAATGAAGCTTTTCCATTGCTTGTATGCAAGAATTTGTTTACTTGGACTTTCTATAAGTAGCATGGTTTTTTATTAATTGTTTGAGCATTTTACTTATCTTTGGTTATTATTCTTGTTGGTAGATTATACTCTTCAAAGGATTAAGTGACTGAAGAAAGCAAGCTAAATTAATGTTAGAAGTCATTTTCTTCCTTGGCATTAGAGTCTTTGTGTTTTGATAGGGTGAATTATGGTATCTGAAAGGAAGTTGAATTTTTAATTTTTTTAATCAACTTTGTTAACAGGTATGCAAGTAGAAAGAATGTATCATAGTTACATGAAGAATTAATGTTAGATTAGCAATATTTGGATTTGTATGAAGTGAGTTGGATCATCGAGATGGCTACCATATCATTAGTAGCTGGAAATTGTGGAAGGGGAAGAGGATGTGAAGATGGTAGGTTTGAATTCGGATTGAACTCATATTTCGGGAAGGACTTTTTTGCTAGTGAATTGCTTATTAGATCATTTAGAAGAGGAAATGGGTATTGGTCAAAAGCTTTAAAAGGTTCTAGGAATGACAATGAGAAGAGGCTTCATGTTATTGCAAAAGTTAAGAAAGGGAAGAAGCATGATTACCCCTGGCCTGATGATATTGATCCGAATATCACGGATGGACACTTAACTTACCTGTCTTACTTCAAGCCTTTGGATGAGAAACCAAAACCGGTGACTCTACCATTTGAGAAGCCACTGGTTGACCTTGAGCAAAAGATTATTGAGGTGAGTTGCTTTTCATTGGTTGCCATTTGATATAGTCGTCAATTATTCGAAGAGATATAAACCATTCCTAATGTTCCTGTTCATGTTCTTAAAAAACTCATTATTGGTATAAAGCTATATGGTGAGGATTCATGAAGAGTGAAGACCCCTTCCAGAGAATTTTTCAATGTGTCATGTTATTTCAATATAATGTTAGTTTTGTTTGTGATCTTAAAATGGAACAATTTTCTTTTCCTTATACCATGACGTTTTAGGTGTTCATAAGGCACAAAACAGAGACATAAAGCCTTCCTTATATGTTTTGTTATTTTGTTCACTATTTTTTTTGGGCAGGTATGTAGAATGGCTGATGAAACTGGTCTGGATTTTACTGATCAAATTGGAGCTTTGGAAAACAAGTACCAACAGGTTAATCTAATATGTTCTTTTCCCTATTATGTCAGAATTTGTTTTTATATTCATCACTGGTATAGTTACTTTTTCCATTCATTTTGGGTGGTAAATTTCAGAATTTTATGTTAATTGCTGTAATACTAAAGATTTCTGGTAGTTTTCAAACTTCTTTTGTCAAAACGTAGGTATGAATTTAGTTGTCCTAGCTTATGAGTTGTAACAATGAGAAAACCGCTGATGCGTTCCTAAGTACTCTTTGCATAGGCTTCTGTTGGTTGCTTAAATATTCTCACTAAAATTTCAAGTCCCCATTTACATTTCATTGACATTCTTATTGGCATCTCTCTAACTTTTTCTCTGTTCTAAACATCAGGCACTGAAAGATTTATACACACATTTGACACCTATTCAACGCCTGACCATTGCTCGACATCCCAATAGACCAACAGTTCTTGATCATATATTAAATATCACAGAGAAGGTATTTTAATAGTACATAACCTTTATATGTGTCAAATCCAAAAGCTTATGAAGCTACTTTCTTACTCTCTTATTCTTTTACTATCTTATAGTGGGTGGAACTCCATGGTGATCGTGCAGGCTATGATGATCCAGCTATGGTAACTGGTATAGGCAGCATGGATGGTAAGAGCTACATGTTTATAGGCCATCAGAAAGGTAGGAATACAAAGGAGAACATTTTTCGCAATTTTGCAATGCCAACTCCCCATGGGTACATTTCAAGGATCTTTTACTTGAATAAGTAATTTGAAGATTCAGCTTGCATTAGATGTCATGTCTCCAATAAGATCTTTTAAAAATTTAAATGAAGGGACTTAATATCAGAATTGACAATTTTCCTGATCAAGTAAATCATGTTTATTTGATATCTAAAATTGTCCTGGCATTTTCGTAATTTTTCTTGCTTCATTAAAGATGTAGGGGTAACATAGATGTGATCATAACCTCTAATTATTTCAGAAAGCCTGCTTTAAATAGTTTTAAATCTTATCTGTTATGATTGATTTGTAAACAAATGCTCATATGGAGCTCTATTTGCAAACAGCTATCGGAAGGCTTTGCGAATGATGAAGTATGCTGATCATCATGGTCTTCCTATTATTACATTTGTTGACACTCCTGGGGCCTTCGCTGATCTCAAATCAGAGGAACTTGGTCAAGTGTGTCTACAAACTGTTTTCGGACATTTAAAATTGTGATGTTACGTACACTGAATTCTGAAACACCGAGTTCATATAATAATATGGCCCATTTTTTGTTTTACCCTAACAGGGGGAAGCAATTGCCCATAACCTGAGGACCATGTTTGGCCTTAAAGTGCCAATTGTAACTGTTGTTGTTGGTGAGGGTGGTTCTGGAGGGGCGCTGGCCATTGCTTGCCCCAATAAATTGTTTATGCTTGAGAACTCTGTTCTGTACGTTGCAAGGTGAGACTAGTTCCTTCCTTTTCCTCCTTATCTCAGTAATATCACTTGGAAAGTACAAATTTAACTGAAGATTATGATACACAAAATTATTAAGTGAAATATAACTAATGCCTTCCGAGTTTAGAAAGTTTTTTACAAGTCAATTTCCTTAGGCTCTGTTTGGTTGCTGTTAGAGAGTAGAAAGGAAAAAGCAAAAAATTAAAAAAAATGAATAGAAAACTAAAGACTGCAAAAAACAAAAGCATCAAAGAAATTGAGCCTTAGTTAATTTGAGGTTTTAGTTTTTCTTCGGTCACTGATCTTTATAAATCAACAGGAACATCAGCTTATTGCCCCACTTCTCATAGTTCTACATGGTATTGTACAATGTCTGTTTCTCAAGTTCACCTTTGACTGGCTATAGATATATTAACACCTCTTAGAGTTGTTATTTCCATCCTATATTGCTATACTTCTAAGCAGTATTTCTTTTATAGATGAAGCCTGAAATACATGTTTCTTTTGACTCTGATTCTCTAATCAGTCCTGAAGCATGTGCTGCTATACTGTGGAAATCTTCTCAAGCAGCTCCTAAGGTAAGTGATTCAAGTTGATGATTGAAATTAGAACCATAATTATGTCAGGACTGATGCTTCACTACTTTTATAGGCAGCTGAAAAACTGAGGATAACAGCTCAAGAACATTACAAGCGCAAAATTGCTGATGGCATCATCCCTGTAAGCATCTTCAACCTCTGAAGGTTTCTCATGCTTCTCTTCCTGTTACTCGAGCATTCCAACCCAGTGGATTTGACAATGGCTGTCCATCACAATAAAGAGTTCTTTTTTTCCCCATGTTGTCATATTTGCTTTGATTTATAGGAACCTCTTGGAGGTGCACATGCTGATCCTGTATGGACTTCCCAACAAATTAAACTTGCAATCACTCAGGCCATGGAGGTAAGTGATGTTAACAAATCTTGTGCAGAAAGAGGGAAAGAAATTTGCATACTGAACGTTTATGGTGGTTTGAAAGTTCGGTATATCTTTATAAACCTTCGAGGTTGTAATAACTGAAAAAAATTGGCACCCAAGTTTATTATGTGTTTATGTCCATTATAACAGCAGCCATTTCTTAATGAAAATTGTTTTGTTTTTTTAATTTCCTCCTTTAACCATTGCTTTAGAGGGAACTTTAAAAGTAAGCAGAGTTTGTTGCAATTACTTCTGGACAGCATTATGGGATTCTGCCATAAAATAGTGTTTGATGCAACATGATTTCTACAAAAAATAGCCTGCTTTTACATTTGAATTTCTTTTGTGCACTACTTGAAGAAGTTACTCTTCCAATGTTTCTGTTGCAAGGTTGATTTGGCCACTATTCTTTCTTGTTCTTTTGCTTCTGTTGATTTCCAAGTCATTGGCCACTTACAGTGATATTGAAATGAACATAGGAATTAACAAAATGGGATACAGAAGAGTTACTTCGCCACCGAATGCTCAAATTTCGGTCAATTGGAGGTTTCCAAGAAGGTAAGCCAGTGGAACCCGAAAGAAAACGCAACATGAAGCCTTCTGATGCCAGCATGCTGAACGCTGCTGATATAGAATCAGATCTTGAGAGGTTAAAGAAGAAGATTTTGGAGGCAAAGGCACCTTCTGATCCAATTGCAGACCAAGCAATAGAAAAACTTAAGCAGGATGTTGACAAGGAGGTTACCAGGGCATTCATTTCAATGGGCTTGCAAGAGAAGCTTGAATCACTGAAGTTGGAATTATCCAGAGCTCCTGATAATCAGCACCTTAATCGTAATTTAAAGGAGAAGGTGGATAAACTGATGCATGAATTTAAACAAAATTTGTCACGGCCAGGGGCCTATCTTGGTTTAAAGCAAAAGCTTGAAAAGCTAAGCATGGTTAGCAGACTTGTTGAGCTGAAAGAGAAAAGTGAGAAACTGAAAACTGAGATTAATCAGAAGATTCCGGCTGAGGTCAAGGCAAAGTTGGAGCAATTGGAAAATGCTCAGGAAGGATTGTCGAAAGGGGATCCACTGGACAAGGACTTGGTGGCAGAGGCAGTAAAAGCTAAGAAAGAACTGATCGAAGTTTTGAAGTCAGCTAACCTGGAGATTGTTGGAGTGAGAAAGAGAGAGGTCACAGCTGCACCTCCAGAAATACAAGAGAAGGTTGTAAATGTGAACAAAGAGATCGGTGGAGAGATTGAAAGGATAATTGATGTAGCAGGTCTTCGTGGCAAAATTGAGGAGTTGAAGGCAGAGATGGCTAAAGGCTCCAGTTCACCAAAAGCAGAAAAACTTGAAACAGAGATCAAGGAGGGGATTCTTGCTGCCTTGGATAACACGGCACTAAAACAGAATGTTGAGAAGCTGAGAACAGAATTTGCATCATCCTTGGAAATAGCTACCAATGATAAGGTTACTGCTGAAAATGGCAGATGGTGATATATAGCATCTTACACATACAAAGTATGTATGTTGCGATTCGATGTATACAATGAGTTTTTTTCATTAAAACCACTATCCTATGTCATTGATGAAATTAGTCGCGCGGTCCAATGATATACGGTGTTGTCATGGAGAACTTAAAGTATGATGCCATGAAGGGAGGAGAACTGTTAATCCATGTAAGGTTATCTTTTTCTTGGTAGAAAAGCAACTTACTATGCTTCAATCTAGAGCTCTCATCCAAACCCTCACTCCACCCAAACAAACTAAGCTCCACTACCATTGAAGATTGTTATCTATGCCGCTTGACTGGGACTTGCATTCCTCACAAATGAGCCCATTTTTCCATTTTAATGCACCAAAATGGAACATCAAGTGTTAGATATCTTTCCCGAAACAAATGAAAAAGAAAAAGGGTAGTTTACACAAACAAAAATTTCCCATTTTTTATGCACCAACAAGCAGGTAGATTACTTTAGACATTGGCTTTGCTTCATCCCCTTGTTTTGTAGCCTATGGCAATACAACTTTATACGTATTGTTTTGTTTTACTTTTTCCAGTCCCAGCAGGTAAAGAAAACAAAGAGGTTATGTACTAGAAAACAGAACAAGAAAGCAACAATTTGATTTTCTCTGGTCCTACAGCTACAACCCCAAAAAGCATTCAATCATGATTCTGTTTTTTCATTATAATGCACTAATAATTCCCAAAAGATAATGCCTGCTTATGCTTGACCTTACCCACCTTGTCCTCACTCCTTTCTCACCAAGCACCTTCCCTGCTAAGCTTTCTTTCTTTTTTTTATTACTTTATTTATTAAATTCACCATTTTTCTCTTTTCTTTTATAAAATTTAGTTCAATATGTAAAAAGGCACAAAAGCAATCTTGCAAGTCTTTCAGAGCATTTTCCTCTAAATGATTATTAAATTTCACATATTAAAATTTTAAAATAGAAAAAATGCATGCAAATTTTATATATTAAAAAAAACCTTGAATTATTAAAATCTAAAATGTTTATTATAGAGTTAATATTCCTTTCTCTAAGACTATAAAAAAGAAAAACAGTGTTATACTTAATTTTTTTTTAAAATATTTAAAAATTTATTAGTTTTATTACATTTAATCAAAATTTTAATATTTTTATTTTAAATCACATATATCTTTATAATTAACATTGATTAATTATTGATAGTAAAAACATTAATTATCATTTTTAATCATGTAATAATAATGAGATATTTTGATATATTGTAATAAATAATAACATAATATGTTGATATAGTATTATAATATAGTCGTGTAATATTTTTTATTATTTTTGTTAATACCATATTAATGTCACGTGAGTATAAAAATAATAAATAATATATTAATTAATAATAATTAATCAATAATTACTTATAAAAATTTATTTAATTTAAAATAAAAATACATGAAGTTAATTAAATAAATTAAAATTTTATATAAATTTTTTAAGTGAAATATATAAAATTTTTAAATAAGTAATTTTTTTAAAAAAAATTAAAAAAACAGAAAATAACAAAAAAGGATTAAAAAAAAGAAAAAAGGTGGGTTAGTTGTTGTGGGCAATATAGAAAATAAAAAGAAAGCGCGGGCCATACATCAAAATTACAAAAAAGGGAAAAAAATCAGCGATCCGGACGCCCTAAGGACGAAACCGAAAAAGGGGAAGCTCCATTTTCTCCGCTGAGCCCAGAAACGACTATGAATCAACCCGTTTCTCTTCTCCACTCTTCTTTCTAACTTCCTTCTGTGCCACCAAAATCAAAAAACCCTCAAACCAAAAAAAATCATTTCATTTTTTTTTCTTCCCTTCAACAGACCCGTGCGAAAGCACCCTCAGTTTTAACCCTAATTTACGATCTAACCTTCTTTCTTTTTTGAATTAACAAACCCTAGCTTCTTTCTTTCGTTCTTTTCTTCGAGGACCCTCTGTTTTGCCACTATTTACGGCGTTGCCTTTTTTGCGAGAAACCCTAGTCTTTGAATTTTTTTCGCCTTCTTTTTTTGCAGCTGTGTACAGATTTCGGTTTTTGTAGGGTTTCGAATCTTGGGTTTTTTTTTTGGAGTTTAGGGTTGTGATATGAATAGTAGAGGGCGGTATCCACCGGGGATCGGCGTTGGCCGGGGCGGCGGAGTGAACGCGAACCCTAGTTTTCAGTCGAGGCCGCCGCAACAGCACTACGTGCAGAGGAATTTGGTACAGAATCACCAGCAGTTTCAACATCACCAACCGCAACAACATCACCAGCAACAACAGCATCAACAGCAACAACAGTGGCTCAGGCGAAACCAGTTGCCCGGCGGCAATGACTCCAGTGTCGTCGATGAGGTCGAGAAGACCGTACAATCTGAAGCCGTTGACTCAAGGTTCCCTTTCATTTCTTCATGTTGCTGTTGTTATTTGTATTTATGACCGAATCTAGTTTTATTTGTATTTCGTGGTGTTATTTCTCTTGATATATCTTGAACAATAGAGTATTTTACGTATAAAATGATAAAATTATTAGTGCTAGGGTTCGATTTAGTCCTGAACTCACCGTTAGTTAGGAAAGTTTGGAGAAAAGTGAGAAGGGACTGGATGAGGGAATGGAAGTTTATGTACTGCATTCGTGCGTACTTTTTACTTCTTTGTTTCGTAAATTGCAACGTTTTCTATGACAATGAGTTGCGGAGTTTCCTTGTAGATGCTATAGTTTGAGACTTAATCTTCATGTGATTTTTTACAAATTGAATTTCTTGCCCTGCCTTTCCTTTTAACAAACATATCAGGTTTGTTGTGTATTGTCTTACAGTCATTTACCCTTTTCTTTTCATTATTCAGCTCACAAGATTGGAAGGCAAGGCTAAAGATACCGCCACCAGATACACGCTACAAAACAGAGGTATACTTGTTAACGATATATCGATCATGTAGTGTTGAAGTACTACTTCCTTGTGCAGGGTATTGTTTAGAAAAACTATCATTTTAAACATTTCTTGAAGGCTATGCTTTTTTCAGTTATGTTAAGAAGGCAATTGCAGCATAGGTTTTATATATTGAAGCATAAAAATTCTTCTCCTTGCCTTGGATGGGACTTTGATAAAGTAGCTTCGGGTGCTCTCGTGAATTATCATCATTTCTGCTTAAAGAACATAATAGCAAGAAGATAGGGATTAGAATGGTTGATTCGTACTTAGAAGGATTAGTTAAAGTAGCTATTTTGGAAATTTGTTAAATCTCTTGAGGATACTATAATGATCCCAATTTTACCATTTAATTTGTTCATGGATGGTCCAGAGGACACATTGCGATCTTACTTTTGTAATTCTGGTAATGCAGGTGAATTACTCTTTATTAATTCCTGGTATCCTATGATATACAATTATACATGGACAGTTTTCAAAGTTTTTAATATGTGAACAGTGATACCTAGTTCTCTGATGTTGAGGCCTTCTGGCTTGAACTTGCATATCTGAGTGCTATTTTTAGGCATGCATTACTTCATCCTTGTTAGTGCATCATCTTATTTTTATGACATATATCTTGTGACAGGGCATGATAGTGATACCATGGGTATTTGGAGATGTTTCCATATCTTTTAATGACATGTTTATGTATTGACCTGCCTATTTAATTGTTTCCAGGATGTCACAGCTACTAAAGGAAATGAATTTGAGGACTATTTTCTGAAACGTGAACTTCTTATGGGAATATATGAGAAGGGTTTTGAAAGACCATCTCCCATTCAGGAAGAGAGTATTCCTATTGCTTTAACTGGAAGTGATATTCTTGCTAGAGCCAAAAATGGAACTGGGAAGACAGCAGCATTTTGCATTCCTGCCTTGGAAAAAATTGACCAAGATAACAATGTTATTCAAGGTTAACTCTCCATCTATTGACTTGTATCTGTGTGTAGCAATATAGGCCCAGTCCAATGGTAATGGGTACTGCTAGTAGGATAGCTTTGCCATTTCAATTATTTATTATTTTAGTTGTGTGATCTGCTTGTCAATTAGATAATGGAAAAGATTGCATGAATGGCATTTGCTGCATTTTGTTAACTGAAATTTGAATTATGGGCATTGGCATGGATGGATATCAATGAGTGAAGGTCAAAGTTCTGCACCATTTCCTGAAAAAGTGCATTATGTCTTACTTCTTGCAAATAGGTTCAACTTTTTGTGTCAGTCCAGGCATAAACTTTTACTTCTCTTTCTGAAACCTGCCCTAATTAAGTTCTTTACTTGAAACTTTCTTGGCTTAATTTGAGATGAGTCAATTCCATATCTGACTTCTCTATTGTATGATGTGAAGTTTGTTACAAAGAAGTTATCAATGCCTCTGCTGGACTTTGGTTTTACTTATATTATCTGTGGGCTTTCTTGTTTTTACTCAATGTATGTCTTTCGGCTCAGTTGTTATACTTGTTCCAACCCGAGAACTGGCTCTTCAGACATCACAAGTGTGTAAGGAGCTTGGGAAGCATTTACAAATTCAAGTCATGGTCACAACTGGAGGTACCAGTCTCAAGGATGATATCATGCGATTGTATCAACCAGTCCATTTACTGGTTGGAACCCCTGGCAGAATTCTAGACCTTGCCAAAAAGGGTGTTTGCATTTTGAAAGATTGTTCAATGCTTATCATGGATGAGGTAATTATTCGGTAGTTTCTCTGTATTTATCTTTCAGTTTGATCTTTTGTCCTTTGTAAGTTTAACATGAGAAAATTTGATGAAGTTGAAGTATATTGGATAAACATGGAGGAAGAAAATTGTTTTTTTTTTATCTTGGTGAACAGTGATTATGATGGATAATGGTTACTTTCTTGTGTCTTTTTCTGTTGGGTAGGATGGGGGTTTAGGTTCTGATCTCCTGAGAATACAGTTGCAAACTATTTGCCATCGATTGAACTGGCAAGAAAGTATTTATCCTGTTTATCCTGTTTTACAGTTTACTGGTTTCACTCCAAGAATCCAGATTTTAGCCGTTGTCTGCATAATTGATTGGATCTTTGCTTTAAGAATTTAAATCTAATTGGAAATACTTAATTCTTATTTGTAAGTTAAGGCTGAATCCCATTATGCTATCTTTTTCTTTGGAAAATTTAACTGATATATGGTATATGAAGTTACTGAAGTTGGTTATGTCGTCAAGTTTTCATTTTGCATACTCACTTCATTACGTACCTTGAATCCCTATATCTCTTGTTCTGTAAAATGTCCATAACTTAAGACTGAGCACTATTATCTTCTGTTCTTATATTACCCTTTGATCTTTTGTATGAATGTTAGTTTTGGAGCTAGAATTCCGAAGAGTGAGTGAATCATTGGCATAATAATTCTTAAAAGGTTTCTGCAAAAAGGAGGCAAGACACTTGCTGTTGTCTGCTTGATTTTAACTTCAGATCTGCAAAATCTGATGTTTTGTGTTTTGGTTTCTTTCAGGCAGATAAGCTTTTGTCTCCAGAGTTCCAACCTTCTGTAGAGCAGCTGATACGTTTTCTTCCAGCATATCGTCAAATTTTGATGTTTTCTGCCACATTTCCTGTTACTGTTAAGGACTTTAAAGACAGATACCTACATAAACCTTATGTTATTAATCTAATGGATGAGCTTACTCTGAAAGGTATTACACAATATTATGCCTTTGTGGAAGAAAGACAGAAAGTCCACTGCCTAAATACTCTTTTCTCTAAGGTTTGATCTTATATCAACTTTTATCTAGTTTTCTCTCTGTTCCTCTTTCTTTGAATGAGGTGTGATGTTTTTTTTTGTCTCCAGCTCCAAATAAACCAATCAATCATTTTCTGCAACTCAGTTAATCGTGTGGAACTGTTGGCCAAGAAAATTACAGAACTTGGCTACTCTTGCTTTTATATCCATGCTAAGATGCTTCAGGATCATCGTAACAGAGTATTTCATGATTTCCGCAATGGTGCATGCAGGAACCTTGTTTGTACTGGTATGTATGCCATGCTGTGTGTTTTTGGGATATGAACTATTGTGCTATTTGATTACTTAACAAATAAACCAGTGGTGTACAGCCTATATGGTTTCTTGGACTTTCTTTTGCTGTCTTTTTGTTTTAGGCGTTTTATTTTTCATTTTCATTTTCATCTTCTTTGTTTTGCTAGACACCATAGCCGATTTCTCTAATACCTACTATCTAAACCCGCCACTTCTTATCTTGTTCAATGTACTCTACAATTTGAGCTATATTATATTGTCAATATATATGGTACTTGTTGAGCTATAGTATTGAAGCTTTGATTTGATTTTTTATTTTTCAGTCTTTAGGGGGGCATGTCATTTCTTTCAATCAACATACTTCATTTTTTCGTTTCATTAAAATTAATTCCCTATGCCAGTGCCGAAAACAGCTTTATTCTTTTTAAGCATTCTATGATTCTTATGTGTAGAATGATCTCCTAACGATGTACCTATGCTTGCTGCAGATCTTTTTACAAGGGGAATAGATATCCAAGCTGTGAATGTTGTTATTAACTTTGACTTTCCCAAGAACTCAGAAACATATCTTCACAGGGTATGTTGGTTATGATATTATCTCACTTGCAAGTTGCAACATTGTTATCTTTTTATTTTTTGTACTTATCATGGATATCCACTTAACGGGCAGGTTGGTCGATCAGGAAGGTTTGGCCATCTTGGTTTAGCTGTGAATTTGATCACTTATGAGGACCGCTTTAACTTGTATGTTATATGTCACAATATCTCTACCTATTTTGACACTATAGCATGTATATATACATTTGAGGTTCTTCTGATTCTTTAAAATGACTTATAATATATTTACATTGAGGTTCTTCTGATTCATTGAAGTGTTATATGGTCTTCTCTGACAGGTATAGGATTGAACAAGAACTTGGGACTGAAATTAAGCAAATTCCTCCTCATATTGATCAGGCTATTTACTGCCGGTGATTTATGGTGGATGTTTCCTGTTTAGTCTAAGGTGGTAACAATGGTGAGCAACTATATTGATGTCCCGTTTTACGATACATGTATGAAGTGATTTTTTTGTTATTTTTTTCTTATGTTTGCAATGTTCTATTATTTCATCTCTTGCTATTTATATGTTGCAATAATTGATGATGTGCTATTATTTGCATGTTTGTTAGGGTTAATGAAGCTGGTCATTCAAGGTGTTTGCCCTTGCACATGGGTGCGCATTCTAAAAAGTAGTTGGTGTTGGTGGAACACTTTTAGTTGGTGCTGTATGTGTGTAAGCCTTGAATGCTTCGATTGGTTTCTCAAATTTCATAGTCCTGAAACATTAACAGGATAGTAGGAGAGAGTTTAGATGAGTCCTGCTTTTGATTTAGTTAACATATGGTATGGTACTGCCCACTTTTAGTCTGATGATGGTGGAATTGTTTTTAAGGTTGTACCTTGTACAAGAAATTTATGTCTTGTTTCTGTTGGTGCATATGCTCATCTTTGTTATTTTCAATAAATAAAAGCATCGGATGGGAGTCCTATGTTGGCTTTTGTTTGGTACATCGCATTTGCATTTTCAATTTTCTTAAAAGACCTCATTACTTCTGTAACTCCATAGGTGACGGAATATGCCACTTGGTGGTAGTGAAGTATGCAGAATCATGTTGAAATCCCTACCATTGCTGATCAGAATTTGGCAGGCAATTTGGATGTATTTGGTTTTAATGCACCTCTTTTTTTTTTTTTTTGGTATTTTAGTTTATCATAATGTTCCACCCACCAATTACTCTCTAAGCAACTCAACCTTATGTTTATATTCGAGAGCGTGGACTAGCGGCCTTCTAGAGGCTTGGACTGATGGTAAAATCCAATATCTTGACGAGGAAATGGAGATGAATGTTTCAATTTTTATGGTAAATGTGGGAAAGGACTAAAGGTGATTGAAGCAAATCTATTTGGTTTCAGCTGTCAAATAGAGCATGGATTGGAATGGTAAGCCAGCATTTTGGTCAATTTTCATGGAACAAGTAATCCCCGGCTTGGAATGTCAGATTGTCTCATTTATTGGACGGCCATAGAAGAAAACGGATCCTTGGGGCTCTTTCTCAAACCGATTCAAAACACAAATTCGAGGTGCGTTCTTAATAGTTGCCGACATCATAAATGCGAGCAATTTCCACAAGAAACCTTCCTTTCACCTATCCTGTACGTACCACAGGTTGGGTCTTTAGGTGAAAAATGCAAGAAGTTAATATTTTCAAACGCAAGATTTGATCATTTGAGCACGAACAGATGCAAACGTGAAAAGGCTGCTGCTAGGCTCGCTTTATGCTATGAGGTAATTATTTCAAAGGCACCCGGGTTTTTTGCCACAGTTTTAGAACTAGCAATTCATTAAGATTTTAATATTAAATTATGAACATTTGGATAATACTAGTAATAGAAAATGCAACAAAAGAAGAAATTAAAATGATGGAAAAAAATGTATACACTCGAGATGCTAATAAACACAGGGTAATACTACATGTGCACAAGTAATTATGAATCCGGAATTACACATGAAACAACAACTGTGGGTCCTGACGCTTCATGATCAAAGAGTGAATCTGATTGAATCGGAAGATGAACCTCAGCGCCACACCACACGCCCTCTTCTCTTTGGCTTTGCTGTTTTTCAGTTGGTTTTTTCTTTTGACTTGGTATTCAGCGCATTTATTGTACTGAAAACCTGAAAAGACTTGCCATTGGCACTCGGCCATTCCCCCCTACCTTGACATTTATTTCACTCTTTGTTTTTTTTTTTTTAAAAAATATAACAGGAAACAAACAAAACCCACTTTCTTTTTTATTTTAAAAAGGAAAAAAAAGAGCTGAAAAGAAAATGGACCCTTATTCACTAACGCAGGGCCATGTTCCATCACGTGTCACCACGTGAGTTATTGGTCTGTCCCCGCCCAACACTCTACTCCCCCAGTCTCCTCCCTCGCTTCGTTTTGAAAACTCCGGCTAACCCTATTGGCCTCTCTGTCCCAACGAACAGTGTTAGTTTCTTGGATTTCTTTTTTCTTTCATTTTTTGACTTAACAGACAAAAACAAAGTATGGGTGAGAGTTATTCCATGGTGTGTACATCCCATGCATGTCCTTTTCATTGCCATTACTCCCCTCTTTCCCCATAAATTTTTCTATGTCCTCTCTCTGTGAGAATTTATTATTAATGCTTTCCCTTTCATCTTCATTGCACTCTCTCTCTCTTCGTCTTTGGTTTTTCTTTTTCTTTTAATTTCTTACCAGTTTTGTGCATCTCAAACCCTCAAGAAAAGGAACCCTTCATTAACTCTCTTCACTTTTTATACAAGTCTTTGTTTTTTCTCTCAATGATGATTTTCAGCTTTCAAGTTTCTTCAATGTTGTGATTGTCAAACATAAATACAGACACTGGTTTATATACCCCATATTAATTGAAAAGCAGTAGAAGCCAGCTTGAAACTCGCTGATCGTTCTTTCGTGCACCCACTTTATGATATTTATTTATTGGATAATCACTTTCGATTTGCCTAGATAAGATCAAACTTGCATTTAAAGCATCTCTCTCCCTCTCTCTCTCTTGTTGTACCCCTTTTGAAGTTTTTATGTGAAACTGTCTGGTTTGCTGCACAGCACTTGTCACTCAAAAACACACTTTCTTTTCCTGTCTCTCTTTCTTTCTTTGTAGAGGTTTAGAGGGAACTCAGTAAGTTCCTTCTTCTCAAAATTTGAAGGGTTTTTTGTTGATCTTTTTCAATTAGTGTGTTTGTCGTTTGGAAAAACACTGGTAAGGAGAAAAGATGGGGAGGACACCATGTTGTGACAGGAAGGGTTTGAAGAAAGGGCCATGGGCTCCTGAAGAAGATGAGATCCTTGTAAATTACATCAAGAAACATGGCCATGGGAGCTGGCGTTCTCTTCCTAAGCTTGCAGGTTTGGTCGCCAGACTTCAGTCCAAGAAAACCCTTTTCTGATTATTTTTTTCTGTTGCTCTCATGTACTTTTTATAGTTTTATTCAAGTATACACTTTCTTTAAGCATTTTGGAAGTTTCTGTGTCCTCTAAAGCAAACACTTCCAAAGTGCTGTGAGGACACCCATTAATTGTTTTTGGACTGAAGGGACTGATCCGACATTTGGATTTCCCATGCCAATGTATTATGGTGGGATTATCATAAGACTTGGCTTTCAAGTTAATATCCTACTTACATTAATGGTTTACTCTAGATCTGTTACTGTCATCCTTCACCATCCGAAATTTTGTTTCTGGTCTGATCTATTTGTTTTTGACCAACATTGCTTGCCTTGATGAAATCTAACCAAGAACTACCCTCATGAGTATATACTTGTTACCTTCTTCCTGTTTCTTAAATGTTTCCTTTTTCTTGTGGCGGGACACACAAACAAATTTATTAGAGTTTAAGGCAGTGGTTTGGTAGAAAAAGTGAAAGGATGAAAAGTTGTTGCAGTAAGAAAAATTGTTTATCAGAAGAAGCCTTTTCACCCCAACTAGAACCAGTAATTTCTCCATATGTTCTGCCACTTCTTTCTTGCTTTATGTTTAATTCATGGTGTTTATGACGCACAAATCATTACAGTTTTTTCCCTTAGGAACTCGGATGAATCTTAAAATATATGTATACTACTATATGAAATTCAGCTTTTTATCCAAATAGGTTTCTTCATTGATAGGTCTTCTTCGGTGCGGCAAGAGTTGCAGGCTTCGGTGGACGAATTATCTTAGGCCAGACATAAAACGCGGTCCCTTCACTCTGGAGGAAGAGAAGCTTGTCATTCAGCTTCATGGCATTCTTGGAAACAGGTGTTTTGCTATGCTTCTTAGCTTTGTTTAAAGTTGGAATTACCTTTTCATGTCAGAATGATTTTCGAGGAAATTAACAGAATTGTTAGTACCAAACGCGCAAGGATGAAAAGTTTCCTTCTTTTTCATCTTCGTGATTTTCACAGGTGGGCTGCCATTGCTTCTCAACTGCCAGGAAGAACGGATAATGAGATCAAGAACCTATGGAACACTCACCTGAAGAAACGCCTAGTTTGCATGGGTCTTGATCCGCAGACTCACGAGCCATTTACCCCTTGCGGTCCAACTACAGCAGCACCTACGTCTCCTGCCACTCGCCATATGGCTCAATGGGAGAGTGCTAGACTTGAAGCCGAGGCTCGCCTTTCAAGGGAGTCATTGCTCTTCAGTTCACCACCATTGGGGAAACCTGACTCTGATTATTTTCTACGCTTATGGAATTCTGAAGTTGGAGAATCCTTCAGGAAGTTGAATAGAGAAGACAAAACTGCTTGTCAAAGCCCCATATCTCAGGCATCTTCATCGACAAAATGTGGATCAGTTTCAGCTGTTACCATTGATATTTGCCCCAATATAGCAGGGTCCTCTACCCCAGCAAGCAATCAAATTGAGGATACAGCGTGCAAGAGCTTCAAGTCTTGCACTGAGGACCCAGTCGATGCATCCGATTCATCATGTTCAAACGAGTCGGAAGATTCATCAGACACTGCACTACAATTGCTGTTGGACTTCCCCATTAACAATGACATGAGCTTCTTGGAAAATGTTGATGCTTATGCCACATCTGCAGCAATGCTGACTGACACGTCTTTTATCTCCCCCTCAGAAGGTTATCTGAAGGCATGATTTGTATAATAATGATGCCCTTATTGCTTGAATTTTGATCTGGGATTTCTAAGTGCCAAAAAGCCAGTTGTGTGCTAAGGTTATTGCCAATTGGCCTAACTTTTTTGTATGCTAGGCAATTAGCTGGTTAGCGGAGCTGATGCCACCATGGAAACCCAGTTTGTTTATTATATATAGTAGATATGAACTCCTTATGGCATTTGGTACTTTTAATTGGGGGTTTGCAAATTCTAAATATTTGTTTCACAATTCTGACCCTATCTTCTTACCCTGTGAATTGGGTTGACAATGTTGATTTCCACCAACACATACATACAAGTTCAGACACCAAACCAATTGCCCTTTGTTTCTTCTCCAATTTTTTCTTTTTACTCCCGAAAGACACTTTACATTTGTAATAGAGACAAAAAAGTTAATATGATGAGATGTGCAGCATCACACTTATGTCTACATCTTGATTGTCCTCAACATCAATTATCTTGCATACTTTTTGGAAGTATCTAACTTAAATCGAGTCTAAGTTAAGTTCATTTATCATTATTTTTCTTTTCAAAAAGTTAACTCGATGACATATGCAACGTACATACTTGTAAGCGTTCCAAGATTTCTTTACTTGTCCAATGTAAAATTGAAACATTTACTTACTTTTTCTAAAATGCTTGACATGAGAAGATGAACGAAAAGAAAAACAAAATCGTTAACCATGAAGGGATGAAACTTTTTGTAAAATTCCCTCCAGCAAGAACATTCTCCAATCCTCAAAGAAAGGTAAATGCTTTGATCAATTCCATAACTCAGATAAGAAAAAACCATCAAACTTGTTTCCAAAGAAACAAAATTTTATATTTCTGTATGAACACATTCAATAGTAGATATATCATATGTGTGTGATGTTCCCACTCTGTTTAGACACAAAACAACACTGAAACAGACAAGAAATATACAGATGAAAACTGGGAGTTACAAGCAACAAAAGCATGCAACGAAAACAATGAATCACATCTGCTCCACTACCAGACCGGAAGGGTCTAACTTCAGAAACAACCAAGGAGCTTTTTCGGAGTTTGTCCAGTTGCACGGTATTTTGCAGCCATCTCCTCTGCCTTGAGGACTTCTTCTCCACGTTTGGCTTCAACCATTGCCCTCTTTTCTTCTGCTTCCTTGTGAAGTAAAGCTACCTTGTTTTTCACGTTCTCTGCATATTCTGCTTTCTTCTTTTCCAATTGTTCCTAGAAATAGTTGCACATGTTAGAAGTAAACCCAGAGAGTAAATGATTTCCCAAGTATATCCAAAGCTGCCCGACCTGAAACTTTAGACTCTAATTTCCCAATTGTTATATAGCAACATAATGTGAAGTGACATTTCAATTTTACTGATTGTTTGGAGAAGCCAAGAGGCATTCAAACCATTCATCCTAACATTAAAAGTGTAAATGAAAGATATGCAGTAGAGGCCAGTTACCTCAATTTTTCTCAGTTTTGCTTCCAGAGCTGCCTTCTTGCTGTTCTCCCATGCTACAATAGAAGAAAGCTTTTTCTGGGCCCTGCTCACCAGTTTCAGTAAATTTGAAAGAATATTTAGCAATTAAACTCGTCATAGAAGATTAGCAAAACTATAAAGAAAACTTGAATAGTTACAATTTGGAAACTCATACACCAATTGATATTCCAATTTATGCAAGATAAGGATATAGTGGAAATGAAAGAGGATTTTTGGAGAAAGCCTTACTTATTCTCTGCTTTGGTCTTTTCACTATCTTCCCATGCCCTGATGAATGATAACCTTTTTTCCTTTTCAACCTCTGCTAGAGCAATATCTGGAAAACAGAAGACGAGGAATTAAATCACTACATTCTGCAGAACTGATGATATCAAACACCCTCCTTCCATAATACATGAAACTAAATAAAGCCATAAAATTAACAAGTTGCATATGATAATAGAACGATCAAAGAAGTACTGTGAACACTTACCCCTATCATGTGATCCTCCTGAAATTTTCTTCGGCACAGGCTCTGGTGCCTCTGTCAAAATACAGACAATGTTAGAATCACCAGAAGAGCGATGGGCGATGACCAATGATGACAATTAGCTTAAGAAAAAGTTAACGTTGTTCCCTGGCTTTTGGGAAAGAAATTCTATTTACTTAGCATATATCCATTTTTATGAATGAAAACAAGGAAAAGAAATTTACCCAATTTCATTAGAATGAATTTTTTTGTTGAACTAGTGATGTATAGGTTTGATATTATGAATTACAAGGTAAAGCATTGTCTCAAGGGAGGGTTACATCAAAGTTGACTACATTGCTCTTAAATGTTGGCACAAAACAAGTTACAGATAGATTTTATCCCGTCCTTGGGACAGCAAGCTTTTTGATGAACATTATAATACATAATACATTGAAAAAAGCATGGCCTATTTGCTTATGAAGCACTTAAGTAAGAAAAAAAGAAGCCCAATAAACAAAATCCTAATGATTAATAAAAGCAGGAAACAGTGTTTCCATTGATGGATGCTGACCAAGAATGGTCTTCAGTACAGAAGCATGTCTAATTTACTACAGCAACAAATTTAAAGGGTAAAGTTCAAAAAAAAAAAAAACATTTATGCCATGATGAGATCGAATTTTGATTGCAATCTTGAAAATAGCTTTTAACTGGGTACATCATCCAGTTAAATCAGAGCTCACTCTCCAAGTACTTTGACAAAAGCTAGAGTGAAAAAAATTTAGTACTCGATGTTCTTGATCATGGTAAAACATGCTCTAAAGCTGTCACCAAATTGAGGAATCCAGGAACTTCTATCAATGCAGAAAGAATATAATACTAGAATTGAAGCTTCTTTTTCCCTCTAAAAAGCATGTAAATAAGACAAGGTGTAACAGCACAAGTCGTGTTTTCAAAGCAACTTTAAGCAAAGCATAATTATCCAACTTTAATCTTCCTTTCTACTTTAAAAATAATGAAACAAGGGCCCCCATAAGCATTATTAGATGCCATGATAATAATTGTGGAACACCTGTTTCCAGAAACCTAAACCCTGCCACCCTAACCATATTCTGGTAGAATTGGGTGTTCTATGCAATATAACGTCTGATGAGAGTGAAGATGTCTATTCAATTATGATTAATAACTATAGATAAAACGAGTATAGTGACAAAAAAAAGCATCCCACGCATAACTGTAATGGATTATGAATTTATGATGGTCTGAGAAAAGTAAATGAATGGTCTGGCTAATTAAGCATCCCATGAAAAAGCCTAGTCTCAAAAGCAAGATGCTACTTTTAGAAAAATTATACTTTTTTTAGGAACCCAGTTGCCATTTTTGAAGGAGAATTAATTAGAAAGTAAAAACTTTATCAATCAGACTTGAAACAGTACAACAAAGCGATCAAATGACTGTTTAGTGAGCCTAACGGAATAAGGGGTTAGAAAAAAGGAAGACAAAGAAAACCTCACACACATCAAAATCTGGAAAAGAAATTCACTAATCTTTGATTGTTTCCCACCTTTTGGATTAAATCGTATTATATTTCTAAAAACCACAGACCAATAGAAAAGCAACTAAAGGTAGAATTTCTTAAGAAGAAAATCTTGAATACATAGTTTTGCACTCTGTTTTCCAAAGATCAGTTAAAACTAGTACGAGCTTATTGGAGACTGAATTGAATGTGAAGTTTAACGAATAAAAAGGATGGAAATTTGAAATCCACGTTTCGATTATATGAACAAAAATGGATTTCTTTAGCTTATGTACAGGTGGTAAAATTAATCTATAAATTTGAAAGACAAGTTTACCAACCATACAACATTAAAGAAAGAATTCACCGAAGAAAACAAAAGGAGATGAATCCATCACCAATGAACAATTCACATTAAGCAAAATCGATCACCAAGAACAATGACAAATAAATTCAGCGTCTACTTAATACTGTTAATTTTCACCTGATTTCTTCTCCAGGACTGAAACAGTGAAGATGTTGCCACCTATTATAAGTGCGTGTGTGTGTATATATATATCCAAACGCAGCTTAAGAAAAGCTTATAAATTTCAATATTCAAACGATTTGGATGTTGAAGCTAGATAGAACAAGACAAATAGGATGGCAGTGGCGAAGCTTACTCTCAACTACGGCAAGAGCCTTGGAGTCGTCCGGTTTCTCCTCAGCCGGCGGAGGAGGAACTGCAGTTTTTTCCTCGGAGACGACCTTCGGAGGCGGAGCCTCGGCGACCGGCGGTGGAGCCGCGGGCGTTTCAGCTTCAACCTTCTTCACTTCCTCCGCCATGATTTACTTGCTTACAAGTACAGCTGGGTGAAAAGCAAAAATTGATGCTGGTAACGGATAACACTCGAATATCTATATTTAGCAACGTCTGCTCTAACGATGTAGACACCTTTATATCCACTCTGGACTTTTATATCCTACGGTAAGTGTGTAATTTAACGGTAATTGATTGCCGTTGAGTTTGAGTTTCCAGTTTCATTTTCTTTTGATCCGACGGTTGTTATGTCTTCTGCGGAGACGATTAGATGTAGATTAGAAGTAGGGTGTGGAACCTTTCATGCCGACAGGTAAAGCGGTTAAACTCTGCCACGTGTGTCGGCAAGTGAAATACGACGACGTAGAGTGGATATAGACCAGAACATCGTGTTCTCATAGGCCATGGCCCACCTTTATTTTTTGATTGCTTTGACAAATTGAATTCTTTGACGATCAACGACGAATCAATCCCCACTCTCCCTTGCCATTTCACTTTCCATGTGTCTCTCCTGTCCAAAATATCATTTAATAATTAAAACAATAATGAGATTATTAAACAAGAAAAATAATACTAAGATTTTTTGTTTCAAGATACTAACACACTAATTATGTGAATAATTTTATATGAACTTGAATTATTATTACACAAATAAATTATTGATATTTAATATAATTATTTTTAAAAATATATGATAAAATGTTACACAAATAATTGTTATGTCTTTTTTATTGATTGTTTTGTTATTAAAGTTTTGTCTTCACAAACAGATACTGGTAAAAACCAAAATGCAAGGTTGGAAGTACGTGGGGGGTGGGGGGGAAGAGTAGGGCCATGGGCGGATGGGAAGAAGGTGGAAATCCCCAAAAGCAAAGCAAAGCGATATGTGATTGACAAGTAAGTCTAGGCTGGAGGCCAACGGGGCATGTGAGCCGTGGGTCCATTACAAATTGGACCGTTACATTAATGTCTTCATGTGACTGATTTGCTGCCCTGCGCTGGCGGTGACTCGCGCTTTGCCCATTTTGGCAAAAATGCGGACGAATCGCGTTTAATGCTGTATTAAATAAATCATTGCTTGCTTTGCTTTGCTTTTTCTGCCAATGGAGTATCAATTACTTGTATTATTGGTTTAATATAATAATATTAGTACTTGATTAAGTCTTTTTTTGGTGGGACAGATTTGGTTCCAAGCTCTCCAGCTCTGGAATCTTACCTTCCACAAATTGATTCGCTGAGAAAGCATGCTCCTTGGGGGGTACACGTGTTGCCCAAATTAATAAAAGAATTCTACTTTTGAGATGGGTCTGGCTAGATGAGCCCAATCAACGGGACAGTAAGTGAAGCCCAATTTGCCAAACCTTCAGCCCAAATCCAATAAGAAAATTCCTGCTTGCAATACATATTTTAATTATTTTTACTTTAGATTGTGCATTGCTTAAATAGCTTAAATTAGTTTTTTAAATTAATTCAAATTCGAGTGATCACTTGTATCAAATTATTTAGGATTCAAAAGTTATTTTATGTCGAATATTAATTACTTAATTTTTAAATTATTTCGGGCTTGAATTAACTTTATTCGAGTGATTTCAGATTCAATTCGGGTGAAGTTAATTTTCGGATGATTAAGTTATAATGTAGATTAATTTTGATTTTGGACAGGTGGAGTCGGGTTACTGGATTCGGGCCAGATTTTCCCACCTATATTCCCTCTTCCTAGTTCCTTCAGTTAAGTTGCTATGGATGCTCAGTCGGGAGTTGACTCTTCTTCTTCTTCTTCTCCTTCTTGTTCTTCATATTTTCCAGAGAAAGAGAAGGAGTGGGGGGAGAGAGTTGCAGAGAAAGTGTTTGCGCTCTATCAGTCGCTGCCAAAGAAGGGAAAGCCTCAGGGACGCGAAGTCACCGTATTGGCCGCTTTTCTCCTCTCCTCTCCCTCTCAAGGTCAATCTCTTCGTCAATTCTGTTACCCTCTCAAAACCCCATATATTGATCAATTCTGGTAATCGAACATTCAAAATTAAAGTAACGTTGCTGATGATGCTGAAACGCAGTCATGTAATTAACTTAGGAAATTCTGATTTTTTTTTAGTTCAGATTTGGTAGTGGTCGCATTAGGGACAGGAACGAAATGTATAGGGCGTTCTCGTTTGAGCCATCGTGGTGACATTGTCAATGACTCCCATGCCGAAATTATTGCTCGCAGAGCTTTGTTAAGGTTCCTTTTTCATTTTCTCCTTCTATTTTTGATGCTTCAGTTTTCTTGTTAAAATTTTTTTCTTACCCTAAGTAGGAAATAGTAAATTATGTGAATTTAAGTGGTACTTGTCTTATCAGTAATCACTTTTCAATTAACTGCCATATTTTCCAAAGAAAACCACATTAGGAATTTGGAACATTTCTATAATAGAAGGAAAATTTTTGCTGTTGGATTTACTTGTAGTTAGTCTAAAACTTGCCTGTTTTGTTTTCCTTTGTAATCAAACCAGGTTCTTCTATGCAGAGATTCAACTTATTAATGACAATTTAAATAAGCAAGGACAAAATGAAACCAGACACTTGCAAGCTGGTGGCCTGGAAAACTCAGTTCTTGAATTGGATTTAGATGGTTCTGGTGAAATAAAATATAAACTCCGAGCAGGGTGGAAATTACATCTGTACATATCTCAGTTGCCATGTAATTCTGGGTGATGTCTTTTATTTATTTTCTAATGTTGGTCATCTTAGATTTCGATTGCATAAAAAAGTTATAAGCTTTCATCTTAAGGGCTTCCATTTTGACTTATTATCTCTTGATCATGTCTGATAGGTGGAGATGCTTCGCTTAGTTTGGCACCATCTTCAATTGATGAACATGGTCAGTCCATCTTTGAGCTTTCCAATGCTTCAAGCAGAAATAGTGGAAAATGTTAGCTCTTTTGTTTGAGAAATAATTTGAAAATGGTATACATTGTTGAGAAATTGCCTTGTGCATCGTTGGAGTGATTTTTGAAGGGATAGTTCTTAATGATAATATGTATGACACTTGTGCCTTTGATTAGGTGTATCGTCATTTTCTTTTCCATTGATAATCAATATACTTGTTGAAAAGGCAGTTATCATGTTTCATAGAGATGGGACTTATTAGAAAATGTATTTTCAGGAGATGGCTCACAACTTGTTGGCTTGGTTCAGAGGAAGCCAGGTCGTGGTGATATGACATTGTCAGTTAGCTGCTCTGACAAGATAGCCCGTTGGAATGTTGTTGGAGTTCAAGGTTCATCATTTGCTATCTAGTAATTGCAGGACAATGCACCCCTGACCTAGATACTGAACACCAATTGATCAAGTTGCCGTAGTTCATCCACTGCAAAAGCACACTATCTTTGACTATTATATGCATAGTCTATTACTATCATTTACATGCCACAATCTTCTTTCAACTATCATCAATTCAGAAACATGCATAAATGTGCAGCATATTTTCATTAATGATTTGACTGGCCTTTTGGCGTTCCTGATATCATAGTGAACTACTTTGCACTGGTGTTGCATTTGTTTGATTACAAAGTTTCTTTACATCTTATCCTAGGGGCTCTGCTTTCCTACTTTCTTCGACCTATTTTCCTCTGTTCCATTACTGTTGGAAAATCCCCTTGTAGTTCTGAGGATTTTTGCTTGGAGGAACGATTGAAAAGATCCTTATATGATCGAATTGTACCATTTTCAAATGAGCTTATAAAACCTTTTGAAATTAACAAGGTTTGTGAAGTTTATAGTATCTTAAATCCTATATAAAAACAGGAGGATTTTGACAATAACTTTTTCAATGCTGTGAGCAGCCAATATTTTATGCAGCCCCAGTACCGGCAAAGGAGTTTCAACATTCTGAGACTGCTGAAGCCACCTTAACTTGCGGGTAACTCCCATTGAATGTACCCAGTTATAGATGTAGCTATTGTTTTATCCTTTTCTTTTTGTATGATTTACATATTAATTTTCAGGTACTCTATATGTTGGAATAAGTCTGGTTTGCATGAAGTCACTCTTGGAACCACTGGAAGAAAGCAAGGCACATCTGCTAAAGGGGCAGTTTATGCATCTACTGAATCATCTTTGTGCAAGTAAGCTACAACTGTGCTCTTGGAACCAAAACTTATTGTCCTTATCCTGTTCTTATAGAAAAAATGTCCCCTCAGAAAGCGATTGTTGGAAATTTTTTTATCACTGAGGGGGGAATGCCAAATCAAATGTTCATCCAATGAGGTTTCTTATCGAGAACTCAAGGTAATAATTCTGGATAGTACTTGTTGACTAATTTGATTCGATTTCGTTCTTGAACTAATACTGTTTGATGTGGTTTGCAAATATGAAATTAGTGTTACATGTGAGAAGCTTGCTTTTTGAGCCAACTTATAACTAAGAGTCTAACTTGGTTGCATGAATACCTATTGTGCCAAGTTTCATTTATTAATAAGGAATGTGGAAGAATTTTCAAAAAAAAAAAAAAAAAGGAATGTGGAAGATGTGCAACGATAGCATTTTGCACATAATTTGCTTCTGCTGTTTTCTAGTGAACTCTTATATGGCTTTGATTATGAGTTGTAATATCAAGCTACTGATTAGTATTATTGATGCAGGTTCAAGTATTGATGAAGGGTGATAAAAGTTTGATTTGAAATTATTGTTAAACAATCTTACTATTGACTTAAGACTATTCTATAGAAATCATACTTCTTAATCTATCCTGACATTGGAATTATAAATGAGTGTATTGGTGGCTGGGATTAATGGTTACCATCTTTGCTAATTGATATAGTAAATTATCTGCAGGACAGGGCTGGGGAATATAACTCAGCTTCAAAACTTTTTAAGGGGAGACGTCCCTTTCACAGTTGGCTATTGAAACCTTTAAACTTGGAGAATTTCTCAATTATCAGTAACGAGGTATGCGACACACAACTGTATATGTTTGTCTTTCAGATATGTGGATGAGTTGTCCTTTTGTTTGAAGTAAGACAAGTTGCTTCTGTTATTGACCTTAATTGCCTTTGTCAATAGGGCAATCATCCCTCCTACAACTCATGTGGTCTTCAAGGGTGATCCATTGGTTGGTTGGTTCATGCTGATGCTATAACATGCCTGATGCTGAGTCCATAGAGTTTGGGTTGACCTTAATTTGATCCAGATTATTGGCCAAATTGTCATATAGACTGAAACTTGGGAGCCCTTTTATATGTTGCTCACCGCTTGCTATTGAGGGCAAATTTTTAGCAATATCCCTTATTGAATTTTTATTTTTCTCGTCCAGTTCTGGATGAAGTAAACAGTGTCCAGGTGCATAGGGAAATGTGCTCTGCGCTCAGTCTTTTGGGGAAAGGCTTCTTCATGTATTGGAAATAGGAATTGCTTATCATAAAATGCACGGATGTAGTTGTGTGCTAGCCCATGAAATGGAAAGGAGCTGAGCTCCATCCCTCTACGCTGCCAAAGGATTCTAACAACCTGGCAACTCCTGTATGTATGGAGACTTGCTACTTGAAGTGGCAAAGTTTTGTTGTGGTTCTTGTGAAAATTTGTCTAAACATGAATGATCCAAAGTCATGGAGTGCGGAATTTTGCATTGATGTGAGTGAAGGCAACGGCTAAACTCCTGTTTTTCAGCGGTAGTCAAGCTGCTAGAAATGTTGTCTGTCAACCGGGACGAGGAGGAAAAACGAAGGATAACACAAGCCCATTGATTCTTCACCTACTGTCAGATATGTTATCAGTGGCGCCTGTTATGCGCTAAAGACGAGCAGGGGGCCTCACAAAATTGGTAGAAAGAAAATTTCGTGTTATTGTGTTTCTTGGGAGCCTAGCAAAAGTTTATTTGTGCAAAACTAATGGGCTATTTCACGAGATGTGGGATACGTTTATATTCAAATTTAGAATTCAAGGAATTTGCTAGACAATTAGCGTGTCTAGTACTCCACATGAAAAATTTTACTTGTCAAATTTATGAATTTGGACTAGATTTGGCTAGTCATGGTAAGAATCCAGGGCTCCCTGCCTGTTTTTTAGGACTTTCTTTTCTTTGATAGCAAGTCCGATAGTGCATTCGACTCTCATCCACGCTCTTGCAGTAGTTTAGTTTGGTGGGTTGCTGACATTGTCAACCCTATGAATGATGACATGGCCTTACCTGGTGAACCTCAAAGTCTATGTGGGTTGTGACCTTCCAAACAGCCAAGTGCTTCCTCTTCAGTCTTACGTTAACCGTTGTTTCATTTCGACCAAGACCAAATTAATGTTGTAAATATGGAACTTCTATGAACATCTAGTGTCAGGTAGATCTGGGTACCTGAAAACGAAGTCAACTTTGTTAGGTAACAGGCACGAAGAAAAAACAAAAGAGAAATTAGTGGCATGGAGAATGGATTGACCAGGTTTTTTCGTTCTTTTCGAGCTTCTCACCATCTTTTGCTTGCTTGTGATTGCATCGATAGATTTATGGGCCATTGACCAAAATTATTGGCAACGGAATGAAACTTTAGAAACGATTAGTGATTTTTTACATGAAGTAACAGAACTCAATGTTAGTCGAATTTTGACTTTAAGTGACGCTCGATAGAAATCAAGGGGTAAAGCATTTCACCCAAAGATATGAACATTGCAATCCCAAAGAGCACTGTGCTTTGAAAGAAGACTCTTGGAGGCTGACTAGTGGGTTTGGTGCTAGAAAGATACCATCGAATTACTACCCGATGAATTAGCTTAAGCTCTCATGTGATTTGAACTGTTAATCTGACTGGAGAGATCCTTTGCTTAAGGAAACTCTCTATTATTATAGTCCATTTATCTTATCTTCATTTGGAAATCAATTTATATATATATATTTAATATCATATAAAAGAACTACAAAGAATCGATAATCGAGAGAGCTCCTCCTGTCTTCTGTATGAAGCTTTTCGTACGCTTTTAGGGAGCAAATTACGGATTAAGGGTGCGAAAAATACTACTAACCAAATACGTTACCCCTTTTTCTCCCTACCTATCCCATCACCTTAATTTTTTTAACTTGCAATAAATATTCAGAAAAGGTTAAGACACCGGGGTTCGCACATGTTTGTACGCACCGACTCTTCTACTTGTTTTCCTTCCATGCAAGTCTCCTCGTCTCTCATTTTTCCTGTCCCTGTCTGTTTTGCCTTTAATGCCTTTCTCTTTTAATTCGTAAGAAGGACGTTTCCCTTCGTAATAAGAACGTTCAAGACTTCCCTCGGAAGGATGATTAAAAAGGTCAGCATATTTATATGCTAGTACTACATACCAAATGTGGGCATAAAGGATATAATCTAATTTTGCCAGGGCTATGGAGTATTGAATATAGACGTCATGGAAATTGAATTTGGCCCAAAAGAAACCGGGGATGCGTGGGCAATAGTTTACCCCGAGGCTATATTAATCAAAGTTTTAGTCATAAAAGCTTCATTTTGACCTTATAGATAGCACTGTTAAGCATAAAAAGAGTCCTTTTTTTATTCTTTTTTCGCACATTGGACTACCCATACATAGAGCTGAGATGAGGGCCCTGGAGAGAAGGAAAGCAGACATACTGAAGGTTCAATCGTAGAGCTAACAAAGGATGTCCTGGTTCTAGCTTGGGGCATGCTCGAGTGTCTCTGAACTTTGCTATGTTAGGTATAAAGAAGAAGTACTACGTTAAAGAAGAACTGAGTGATGAGAAGGCTTCGATGTCTGGAAGAATGAAAAGGAGTAATGAGAATCATCAGAGCAGCTTCTGTGTTTTGTCAGTGCTACAAAAACCTTTTACAGGAACGCCTTGGCGGCCCGTGAAGAGGAAGGCTGCAACTTCTACCGTGATCGCCGTGTTCCTCTTCATTATTGGTGTGCTAGTTTGCGTTGGTTGGATTGATGCTGTAAGTTACGCAGAATCCTTGTAAGGATCTGTCCACCAATATTTAGATATGCTTATGTAAATCGTGGTGTTCTAAAACCCAACTAACCCATGCAAAGCACCACGGCGTATACTGCCTCTTGCCTAAAGAAATACGAATGATTCCGCCTACTAAGTCTAGTTGTTTTTCTCTTTTCTGTTTAGTCCATCTTTTCAGGTGTTTCTTCTCGTCAAAATTTAATTCTCGGTTCCAATTCCACAAACGCAAGAAACAAGCCGGAGTTCCCACTCAAATGCTCCACGGGAAACCGGACACAAACGTGTCCAAGGGACTATCCAACCACACACAATCCAACCAATCCCGGCCCTTCTTCAAAAATTACATGCCCATCATTCTTCCGATGGATCCACGAAGATTTGCGGCCCTGGAAGGAGACAGGAATCAGCAGGGACATGATCGAGCGGGCACGCAGGACGGCACATTTCAGGCTGGTGATTGTGAAGGGGAGGGCGTACATAGAGAAATATAGGAAGTCAATACAGACCAGAGATTTGTTCACCTTGTGGGGCATATTGCAGCTTCTAAGGAAGTACCCTGGAAGATTGCCAGACCTGGAGCTTATGTTTGATTGTGATGATCGCCCTGTTGTTCGGTCCAAGGATTTTCAGGGTCCAAATGCTCGCCCACCGCCATTGTTTCGGTATTGTGCGGATGAATTGAGCCTGGACATTGTTTTCCCAGATTGGTCCTTCTGGGGCTGGTAATGGAATGCTGAAAGTGGGCCAACAATGATAAAATGCCCAATGTTTTTAATAGAATCATGCCAGTCTTTGTATTACTGACAATGGGCTGTCCTTTTGTTATCTCAGGGCTGAGACCAATATAAGGCCTTGGAGAAATGTTTTGGAGGAGATAAAGAAAGGTAACCAGAAGACGGAATGGAAGGACAGGGTGCCTTATGCTTATTGGAGAGGAAACCCCACCGTGGCTCCAACCAGGAAGGACCTCATGAAGTGCAATGTTACCGACAAAGATAACTGGAATACCCTCCTTTACATTCAGGTAAACTTTGCCATTTCTTCATTTACGTGAGTTCAATCATTTTTGTGGCCTTAATTGATTGGAGACATTCATTTTTTAGGATTTCTGCGTTTCCAATCGTGCAAATGGCAATACAAGATGATCTGTTAAAAGTTTTTAAATATGTTTATTTTAGGATTGGGCCAAAGAATCTAAACATGGCTACAAACAATCAAATCTAGAGGACCAGTGCACCCACAGGTAGTCATCAAGTAGTTGCAGTAGTTTCACAGCATAGCCATCTTCTTTTAAGCTATCCCATTTCATGTTTTGATGCTGCACTTAATTACGTTTAATCCTAGTTAGTATAAGATTGGTTATTGTATACTACAGATATAAGATATACACAGAAGGATGGGCCTGGTCCGTGAGTGAAAAGTATATTCTGGCATGTGATTCGATGACCTTGTACATAAGGTCTCGTTTCTATGATTTCTTCATCAGAGGCATGGTGCCATTGCAGCACTACTGGCCCATTAGAGAAAACAGCAAGTGCACATCTCTCAAGTTTGCAGTGGAATGGGGTAACCTTCACCCTGACAAGGTTTTTACCATACTCGACTTTGCAACTTCATGGCATTTTTCTTCCTCCCTCTTCTTAATCAAAGCCCCTGGAAATGTGACTTTCTGATCTGTTAATCCACCAGGCACAGGCCATTGGAGAGGCTGCCGGCAACTTCATACAAGAGGATCTAAAGATGAATAATGTATATGAGTACATGTTTCATCTATTAAGTGGATACGCCAAGCTCTTGAAATTTAAACCCGAAATTCCTCTGGGCGCTGTCGAGCACTGTTCGGAAACAATGGCATGTCCTGCAAGTGGCACATGGAAAAACTTCATGGTAGAATCCATGGTGATGTCTCCTAGTGATACAATTCCATGTGCAATGCCTCCACCTTATGAACCCCAAGAGCTGCGAGAATTCCTTGAAAGAAAAGCTAATTCAACGAGGCAAGTGGAGATGTGGGAAAACGAATATTGGCGTAGTATAGATAAAAAGCAATAAAGCCAAAACTTGTACCTTTTCTTGCTTGTAACAAGCAAACATCCTCTGTAGACAAATTTATTTATCCTTACTAAATAATCCATACAAAATTCAATGTCTTAGAGTTTTTTTTTTTTTTTACATGTTTTCGTTAATCAAGAATTCAAACATTTGTGATAACATTATCTATTAATAACAATTTCTTTTTCATTTTTTTACAATAACAATTTCTTTTTCATTTTTTTACAATAACAATTTCTTTTTCGTATATTAAAAAAAAATTAGATTACAAAATTTTACTTATATGTTATATGAACATCACTTACATATCACAACATTATTTCTTTTTTTCAAAAAAAATTTGATAAAATGTGTAACGTTCATATTATTGTTCTTCTAAAAACATTTAATATGACATACACCATCTAATATTTAACTGTAATTTTTATCATATTCTATATCGATCAAATTATTTTTGTTTTTCACTCTTTGCAGAGAATAGAAGCCCCCCGAAGCAAAACTTCAAAAAATTAATGGTAAATGAGCAATAACGAATTAGATTAAAGTATTAAGTTTTTTTTTTTTCTTGTTCTGAACTCTTGAAATAATTTAGTGACCCTAAACGATAATCCAAAATTTCCAATTATAAGAAATAAGAAAATTCATATGCTGCCTGGCCAACCTAAAATTGACTAATGGTAGTAGCTTGGCCAAACAGGTTTATTCTAGTAATCCGAGAACAGGATTAAATCCAATGACTTTTTCAGTGTCATAAAATCTCTGTCGAATCAATCTTTGTCTTGACTATGTCAAGTAAGTGATCATATTCATTCTTTTATTCAACAAAACTGATTGGTTTGAGTCGATATCACTTACCTATTTAATCACATTATTAATTTGTTTTAAATTACCTAAAAGATAAGAAGCTCACATTTTTCCTGCTGCGTAATGCACGTGTTGTCCGACTCAACACAAATTAGCTTCAAAAACTTTCCTTCCCACAAATCAAAACACTTTCCACATTGGTTTCGCCATTTCCATCGGGCTACCAGCTTTGTTCCATCTGCAGGGAAGCAGCACCGCAACTCCTGCCTAAAATAAGGGTATGCTCCTTTGTGTGTTTCCATGATTTATTTTATTTTAATATTTTAATAATAATAATATTATTATTATTATTATTACATAACAAGATCACACGTTTATTTCTTTTATATTTAAATGAGTCATGTAATATGTTTATTATCATATATCATGATAAACTGGTTTTACAATCTCTTGAAAGATTAAGTATTTGATGTTATACTTCAAAAAGATATAGTTTGATAATTTAGCTGTTAAAATATATGAATTTTGCAGAAACATTTAATTCCATGATCTGTTTTAGTTAAAGTTATTATTGTTTTTTGCTATGGACCCCAATAAAAAATTGCCACTCTTCTTCCTTGTTCGTTTCTTTAACTAGATTCTTTCGATTTGATTAGTCTTAGTACTTCAATTCACCAATAGATCAATAGAATAGTACCAAGCAATATATTAAAATGACTAATTTAGGCAAAGTATCCAAGTCAAACAGTTAAAATATCTCCAAAATTTAAACAGTACACGTAATTCCAAATTTAATTTAGTTAATATGTTATCTTTTGGACAGCAAATTTATGGTATTTGAGTCTGCAACTGCAAACGCATGCATTTCTTGCATCTTACCTTGTATAGGCTATTCATTCAGATTAAACATAGGAGGCAATTGGTTTGGGGAAAGCCCTCAAATACAATATTTCATGGTTTTAATTACATCCATATTATCTTCAAATCTGTGTCCTACATTCTTTATTTTGCAACATGTTTTTTCTATAAATATTAGGCCACCCAAACATTGGCTTTTGAATCAAGGCTTTGAATCTTAGCACTACCAGGGAGTATTCTCAAATCTTTGAAGGTTGTGCCTTTTGAGCTTGTCTACTGCGCATTTCCCATGGGCAACGATGTTAAATTTTTTCAAGGCTTTTGGCGTCATGGCGATCAAGTCTGTGGTTGCTTTTCCAAGATTGGTTTTGGACAGGTCAAGAGACTGGTTTCCACAACTGCTTGCATATTCTTCTTCTTCCTCCTCCTCACTGCTGCCTTGGTTCCTTGGATACATTTGGTAATTAAGTTTCTCCTGAATTCTGCTTACTCTCTACCATTCTTTTCCTTCTCTTTCCATCAACTAATGCTAGTATTCTTTTTAATAAGTAAAATTTGGGAAAGGTGAGCTCCCAAAAACTATATCTAAGAGTGAATAGTACACTTACTTATAATTGAATTAAATGAACAGATGTAACTGATGCTTGTATTTCGGTATTATAAAATCAACTACTCTTAAAATTTATAAAGTAAAATACAAATTTTACTCTAAAAATAGAATATACATGTATTTATTATTAAAATAAATGCTTAGATGCAACTAATATTGGTGATATTGGCATTTAGATATGATAAAATAAAGTATTTTTAAAATTATAAGTTCAAAACGTGATAAATAAATTGGATATTAAGAATAAAAACACTATTTACATCCCCTATTTCTCACTCTGAAATGAATCATCTTCATCAACTTGGCACCTTAGGTGCTCAGATTTTTTTTTCATCAAATTTGAAAGGGCAGCTGCTATTGTGTTTGGCAAACAAAAAGGGGAAAACATGGATGCCTCTAGACATTCTTCATATAATGCATGCAGATACTACCTCAATTGATAATCCATGCCGGCACTATTTGCATATTGTTTAGACAATAAACCCTAAAAGAATGAAATTACAATTGAAGTATATACAATAAAGGCATTAGATTTCTATATATCAAGTTCAGTTACTAGAAGATTAAAGCAACAACTTAACTATTGTTTTGTCTATCTTTTTCTCAGCCTATTAAACAGGGCAACCTATTTCCCCAGATGATTTTTTCCTCACGAAGTAGTATTAAAAAACACCATTCAAGAACTGAATATCCTCTAAACTGCTCTGATTCAGGTTTGCAACAAAAATGCCCAAACAATTATCCTTTGGTATTTAAGCCTAATAAATTGTCAACAGAAACTTGTCTAGACTACTTTCGGTGGATCCACCATGATTTACAGACCTGGAAGAATTCAGGAATTACAAAAGACATGATTGAAAGAGGGAAATCGAGTGCAGAGCTTAGACTAGTGATTGTCAAGGGGGAGCTCTATATGGAGAAGTCCGGCCACCCTTTCCAAACCAGAGATTTATTTACAATATGGGGCATTTTGCAGCTTCTAAGGTTTTATCCTGGAAAGCTACCAGATTTAGACCTTTTGTTCTATACTGGAGACTCGACGAAGATCAAGAAAAAAGACTATCAAGGACCTAATGCTAGATCACCACCGCCTCTGTTTCATTATTGTGGAGAGGAGAAAGCACTCGACATTGTGTTCCCTGACTGGACCTTCTGGGGATGGTAAATTTTAGTACATATTACCACAACAAATTGGTCATGAAAAAAAAAAGGAAAGAAAAACTACCAAATTTTAATTGTAATTAACCAACTAGTCTTCTTTACTTTGTTTTGCTCTGACAGGGCTGAGGTTAGTATAATGCCATGGGAGCAGATGCTAAGTGCAATAAAAAATGGCAGCAAGAGGACCAAGTGGGAAGATAGGGTACCTAATGCCTATTGGAAGGGTAACCCAAATGTTTCTAAACAGAGGAAAGACCTTTTAAAATGCAATCTCTCAGATAAATATGACTGGAATACTCATCTTTATATTCAAGTAATTACTTAAAATTGTGTATCTTTTTAGCACTTTAAGTCTTTGATGGGCTTTTATAAATTGATTGAAGTCATGAGAAAATTACAAAATCTAGGCATAATTAATTAACAATTTATTCTTTAATTTTTTTTTTTAAGAATTGGGCTAAAGCAAATGAAGAAGGGTTCAAACATTCCAAATTGGAAGATCAATGCACCCATAGGTATATCTAAAACCTTTTGTTTCTCATTCTTATTAAAGGTTGTTTTCTTGTCTCTTGTATTATAAATTTTTAGTTCTAAAATACTCATCACTCTTTTTCTTTGATACTAATTAGATTTTAATTTTGTTATGGTACAATTTGCACATAGATATAAAATTTATGTAGAAGGAGCAACATGGTCTGTAAGTGAGAAATACATACTAGCATGTGATAGTATGACCTTGATGATAAAGCCTCGATACTATGATTTCTTTTCAAGAAACTTGGTGCCAATGCAGCATTACTGGCCCATTCGCAGCACAAGCAAATGCAAAGATCTTAAGTTTGCAGTTGAATGGGGCAATAATCACATTGACAAGGTATATATATACATATATTCTCAACAAATGGAACATGGATGGGAATGGATTTGCATTTCGAATATTTTTTTGCTAGAAAGTTGTTTGCTTTTTTATATCATTCATAGCTCTTTTATCTCACAAGAAGATACGCTTCACTCTCGTAGGCACAAGCTATTGGGAAAGCAGGAAGCAAATTAATTGAAGAGTTTCTGACAATGCGAAATATATATGATTATATGTTTCATTTGTTGAACGAATATGCCAAGCTCTTGAAATTTAAACCAACAATACCTTTAAAAGCCAAAAGGGTCTGCTCGAAAACCATAGCGTGCTCGAGGGAAGGTTTATGGAAAGAGTACATGGAGCAATCCATGGTGAAGTCCCCTAGCGATAAACTTCCATGTGCGTTGCCTCCCCCATATGAACCTCAAGCTCTTCAAGCTTTCCTCAACAAAAAAGAGAAAACAATTAGGCAAGTGGAGGCATGGCAGGCTGAATATTGGAATATTGGAAGAAACTAAATGATAAGAAGCAATATAGATCTCTCTTTTTGCTTCATTCACGGTTATTGTTACCAAATGAAAAACTTGTTACTATAGCGTATGATTGAAAATATCATATGGAAATTTTGTCCAAATTAATTAAATACTAGACGAATTCCTAGACAGTCACAGATTATTTTCAAAAGTAATGATATTTCCTTGTTTTTACAAAAAAAAAAAAGATAATCTGAGTAATATTAACTTTTAGAATAAAATACAAAATCTTCTGTAATAATAATTTAGGAGATAAATGTAATCATAACAAAAAATAATAAAACAAGGGGGTGGGGGGAAGTTCTCCTACCATTATATATTTTCAGTAAGGCTAGGGATTACTTAAGATACAAATAAAGTTAAAAATAAGGGAATAGCTTTCACAGCAAAGACAATAGATTGTAAAGTAAAATGCTTTGAATGAAAGTAGTCATATCATGTATGGAATTAAAGAGCTTGCCCTTATTAATGTGACAATGTCCAAGCTTATCTTACTTGGATTTGTTGCTTGCAAGTTGCAACTCAACTTGAATCCCATCCAACTGTCTCTTGAATTTGTCCTTAGAGCTTGCATAAAGCATCTGACTCTTTACCCTTGGTGTGTCAAGTGACCTATACCACAAACAACATTGCAATAGACTTTTTTTGAAATTTCACTATGTATTAAAAACAAAGGGAATCGTTCACCCTTGGGAGTAAAAGATAGAACCCATATGACGAAAAAGAAAAAAGAAGAACATGGTTGATGGTTCGTAGAAATTTGAAAAAAAAATCATAGGAACTTAGAACATATGAGTAAATAGAATAGAAGTGAAAAAAAATATAAATAATAATATAAATAGAAAGAAAAAGACAAAAAAAAACTTTATTTTCTCTTAATTTCACACAATGGTAGTGAGTGGTCTTTATCCTTTATTGTCCAAGCTAATATGCTCATAACTCTCTCATGAAGCATGAAGTGTATTTCATTGGTGAGTTACAGAAAAGAGGGTAAAGTAAAAATTAAAGGACAAAAGAGAAAAGAAGAGATAAAGAAAGAGAGAGAAAGAGGTGTAAAGAAACTTAAAAGTTAAAAAGGGCAAAGTTGAGTGGAGCTTGTGGGATCGAATTTTTATTCTTTATTTATATTAATAAAAAAATTATTTTAAGGGGGCCATTAAGAGAAAAAAAAAATATAATATAAAATATTTTAAAAATTGTACCCCTAAAAATATACAACCACCTATCCCTGTCCACCATACTTGAGTCTCTTATCCCAATTGATTCCGAATACATGATTTTGGTATGGCCATTCTCATCCCTCATTACCCCTTAATTTTGGCCTTTCTAGGGTAGCCTTTGGTTGCTCCATCAATATTGAATTTCATCTCTCCCTATGCTAGTTTGATCTATCCTTTCATTTTTCTGCTCTTTTGAATTTTTATTAGTTTTACACAAAATGAAGGACTTCAGTATGTGTCAAGTACCACATTGTACTCGTGAGACTATTTTGCTTAGGTCCATGTGACAACCCTTAACTTGCTAAGCCCAAAAACCTAGTTTGCATCACTCACTAAACCTTTAAAAACCACTTCATTCCTATGTAGCCACACTAACCATGAAATGGCATAAAAGGCCATTCTCTAAATCTGTCTTTCTTTTATTTTAGAGTTGATGCATTCCATAAGTAGAGAAGATTTATCAAGTTATTTGAAATCAGCCAACATGCTCCCCATTCTCCACTTTACTTCATTCAGACCTTCCACACTTCAACCCAATGAAGAAATAAGTGTCTTGTTGTCTTCTACTCCTTGTGACATAAAGCTCAAACTATTAATTTGTTGTTGATTAATCCACTTTGAGCTTATTCATGTTTTGCAGCCATAATTTCATGAAATATTTGCTAGCAAAAGACCTCAATTCAATAAGGCACAAGGTTAATCCAATTTTTTTCCAAACACTTTCATTCATACCATCATTAATAAGCCCTTACTTACAAAAAAACTTTACAATATACTTCCCTGATGTCTAGCCTTTCCAAGCAAGAGTATCTCGTAATTTTCTACTCAAATGGTACTTTTTGATTATGGCTTTTAGTTGGTTCCATTGGCCTTTTTCCCATTTGAATGGTTGTCTCCTCAACTCCAAACCTTAACCTAAACCTCACCCTCCCATCTACCATACTCCTTAATGTACCTTTTTTTTTTGTTGCTTGCAAAGGTGAATATTTTGGGGAAAATCTGCTTGAGGGTATCCCTTTCCACCCACTTATAAAATGAGAAAAGAATTCCATAACCATCTACATGTTGGGACTCACTTGCATGAAAAAGAGTTAGTAAGGGAAAGGGTTTTAGGATATTTTTCTACATTATAAAATACCTTCTGTTTGTATTTGCCTCTAGTAAAAAATTGGTGGGGTTCTCTCTTACTTTTTCAACTATGGCCTTTCTCCACAAATTATCCCTTTCACTCTTTTACCCCAAAAGCCACCGGTTTAATAAAGCTTTATTTTTTAACTTTAAATTAATGATACTTAATCCTCCATTTTCCTTATAGATGCACACTTTAGCCCATTTTATGTAATGAATTTGATGTCTTTTTTCCATTTTTACTCCATAAAAATCTCTTTTCAATTTTCTTTAGCTCCCCTATCATTCCTTTAGCATTGGAAAGATGGATATGAAAAATATAGGTAGGCTAGCAAGGATTAACTATAAAAGTGTAACCTTCTAGCTAATATATAGGACCTTGGCTTTCCATCCCATCAACTGAGTCTCAAAAATTTCAACGATTGGTTTTCACATTTGCATCAAATTTTAGTTACTAGTGGGAGTCCCAAGTGCACCATAAGGATTTCACACATTTTGCAATCAATGTTCTCGGCTTCTTCCCTACCTAACAACTCATGAACCCCTACACCCATTAAACTACTTTTATGGAAATTGATCGTAAATCTCGAGATAGCTTGAAAGCACCTTAGAATCTATTTAATATTTAGGAGGCTTTCCAACTCCTGTTCGCAGAAATCATGGTATGATTGGTGAACAATAAATGATTGATCCCTAGTCTGTTGGTGCCAACGGGAATCCTTGACATAATATCATAGCCTCCCCTTTATCCATCATTTAACTAAAAGCCTTCGTCACAATATTAAAAAGAAACAGAAACAATTGACACCATGTTTAAGCCCAAGTTTCATCTTGAAAGGTTCCATTGACACACAATCCCTCCAAAAAAGAACAAAGAGAAACAATTTGTTGGTTTTTTTTCATATACCATGCAAATAAGAAAATCTTGCTTTTCCGAGAATTTTAATTTGTACTGAAATTATAATCAAAGATAGCATAGCGGCATTCATTAGCATGGAAGGTATCCTTTGAACAACATAACTTAGTCGTTTTTTTTTAAAGTTCAAGTGTGTATTAATTAGTTAGCTGTTAAAATATATTATATTACAGAAACTATTAATTTCATGATTTGTTTTAGTTAAAACTATTAATGTTTGTGGAGATGGGACTGAATTGTTTATCTCAAACCCAATAAAAAATTGCTAGTCTTCATCCTTGTACATTACTTTAACTAGATTCTTTGAATTCGATTAGTCTTAGTTCTTTAATCCACCAATAGATCAATAGAATATACCAAATAATAAATTGAAATGAATAATTTAGGAAAAGTATCCAAGCCAAAAACTTAAAAAATCTCCCTCCAGATGAGCTTGTGTATGTAATTCTAAATATAGTTTAGCTAATATCTCATCTTCCTAAATTTTGACAGCACATTTATGGCATATAAATGTAACTGCAAATGCATTTCTTGCATCTTACCTTATATAGATTTAAGATTTAAATTAAACATAGAAGGCAATTGGTTAAAGGAAAGCTCACATACCATACATGGTTTGATTTCCATATTTTTCCCCATGTTTTTTCGATATATGTTTTGTCACCTATATATTGGCTTTTGAATTAAAGCTGTGAATCTTAGCACTACTAAGAGTAATCTCAAATCTTTGAAGGTTTTGCCCTTGATTTTGTCATCTACATATTACCATGGCAAACAATGTTAATGGCTTTTGGTGTCATGGTGATCAATTCTGTGGTTGCTTTTCCAAGGTTGGTCTTGGACAAGTCAAGAGACTGGTTTTCACAACTACTTGCATATTCTTCTTTTTCTTCCTTTTTGCTGCTGCCCTAGTTCATTTGATGTATGTGGTAAGTTTCTCCTGAATTCTGCTTCCTTTACCATTATCTTCCCACTATATCCATCAACTCATGCTAGTATTTTGGTAAAACTTGGGAAAGATGAGGTTCGTAACTGTATAGAAAAGTGAATAAATGAAAAACGCTCATATTTATTATTAAAACAAATGATTAGATATAACTAATACTGTTATTTTTTATAATCATTAACTAATTTAGTTGTTTAGATGCAACTAATACCGGTAATACCGGTATTTAGATATTATTAAGATATTTTTAGATTACAAAAACACAATTTAGATCTCTTAATTTTCACTTTGATATGAATCCTCTTCATTAGCATGTGAATTGAATGCACCTTAGGTGCATAGATTTTTTTTCTCATCAAATTTGCAAGGGCCACTGCTGGTATGTTAGGTAAATAAGAAGGGGAAAACATGGATGCCCTTAAACATTCTTCATATAACGCATCCAGAGATTGACTCAATTACTAGTCCATGTCGACACTATTAACTTGATGTTTAAACAATAAATCCAAGAAGAATGAAATTGGTACTAGAGTATATACATCTAAGGTATTAGATTTCCATATATAAAGTTCTGTTACTAACATTCTTTATTGCAACAACTTAACATTTTTTTGTCTACTTTTTTTCTCAGCCTATTATACAGCGCAATCCACTTCCCCAGATGATTTCTTCCCCACAAAGTAGTACCACAAAACACCTGACAAGAATTGAAAATCTTTTAAACTGCTCTTATTTAGGATTGCGACAGAATTGTCCTAACAATAATTCATCGGTATTTAAACCTGATGAATTGTCAACCAAAACATGTCCTGACTACTTCCGATGGATCCACAATGATTTACAACAGTGGAAGAATTCTGGAATTACTAAAAACATGATTGAAACAGGAAAATCGAGTGCGGAGCTCAGATTAGTCATTGTCAATGGTGAGGTCTTTTTGGAGAAGTTTGGCAAGCCCTATCAAACTAGAGATTTGTTTACATTATGGGGTATTTTGCAACTATTAAAGTTCTACCCTGGAATGCTACCAGATTTAGACCTTTTGTTCTTTACTGGAGACAAGACAATGATCAAGAAAATAGACTACCAAGAACCTAATTCTGCATCACCACCACCATTGTTCCATTACTGCGGAGAGGAGGATGCACTCGACATTGTGTTCCCTGATTGGACTTTCTGGGGATGGTAAATTCTTGTACATATTACCATAACACATTAGTATAGGAAAAAAAAACTACCAAATTTTTGTTGCAACATAATTAACCAACTAGTCTTCTCTACTTTGTTTTGCTTTGGCAGGCCTGAGGTTAATGTAATGCCATGGGAGCAAATGCTAAGTGCAATAAAGAATGGCAACAAGAGGATCAAGTGGGAAAATAGGGTACCTTATGCTTATTGGAAGGGCAATCCATATGTTTCTTTAGAAAGGAAAGACCTTCGGAAATGCAATCTCTCAGATAAATACGACTGGAATGTTCGTCTTTATAAACAAGTAATTACTTAAAATTTTGTTTTTTTTTGCCATTTTGAGTCTTTGCAGGCTTCTATAGATTGATTAAAGTCATGAAAAAATTAGCTAATGCCCAAGCTAGAAAATTACAAAATCCAAACATAACTAACAATTTCTTCTTTAAAAAAATTTCAGAATTGGAGCAAAGAAAATGAAGAAGGGTTCAAACATTCCAAATTGGAAGATCAATGCACCCACAGGTATATGTAAAACCTTTTGTTTCTTATTCTTATCAGAGGTTATTTCTTTGTCTCCTGTATTATAAATTTTCAGTTTTAAAACACTCATCACTCTTTTTCTTTAATACTAATAAGATTTTAATTTTGTTATGGTACAATCTGCACATAGATATAAAATTTATGTAGAAGGAGTAACATGGTCTGTAAGTGAGAAATACATACTAGCATGCGATAGCATGACCTTGATGATAAAGCCTCGATACTATGATTTCTTCTCGAGAAACATGGTGCCAATGCAGCATTACTGGCCCATCCGCAACACAAACAAATGCAGAGATCTAAAGTTTGCAGTTGAATGGGGCAATAATCACCCTGACAAGGTATATATGTACATATATTCTCAATAAATGGAACATGGATTGGAATGGATTGCATCCCAAAACTTTTTTCGTTTGAAACTTGTCTGCTTTATTATATATCATTCACAGCCCTTTTATCTCATAAGAAGATATGCTTCACTTTCTCAGGCACAGGCTATTGGGAAGGCAGGAAGCAGACTAATTGAAGAGTTTCTGACAATGCGAAACATATATGATTATATGTTTCATTTGTTGAGCGAATATGCTAAGCTCTTGAAATTTAAACCGACAATACCTTCAAAAGCCCAAAGGGTCTGTTGGGAAACCATAGCAAGCTCAAAGAAATTGAAAGGTCCATGGAAGGAGTACATGGAGCAGTCGATGGTGAAGTCCCCAAGTGATAAAATTCCATGTGCATTGCCTCCCCCATATGAACCTCAAGTTGTTCAAGCTTTTCTCGACACAAAGGAGAAAATAACTAGGCAAGTGGAGGTGTGGCAGACTGAATATTGAAAGAAACTGGATGATAAAAAGCAATAGAGACCTCTTTTTTTGTTTCATTTTCATGGTCATTGTTACCAAATAAAAAAAATTATTACCATAGCTTATATATGATTGAGCATATCATTTGGAAATTTTGTCCGAATTAATTAAAGAGGAAATTATGAAAAATGGCCATTTTCATAACTTGATTTCAAAAATAGCCATCAAAATTAAATTAACTATTTTTAGCGATACTTAGCCATGATTTAACAAAAATATCCTTGAAACCATATCAAATAAATTAAACAACTCATCACAATGTCTCCCCATTTTTGTCTCTACTTTCGATTTCTCTCTCTTACCTTTAAGCTCTTTCTAATTTTATCGATTTCTCTTTTCAACATCCGTCTGTTGTGCTTCTAATTTTTCTCTCTCGTGCTTTCAAAATGCCAAGAGATGGTTTTGATGTGCTTGGGGTGGGTGGCAATTGAAAATTTTGATTTGTAGATGTTTTGGACGAAATTAAAATGATAAAAATAATCACAGATGTTTCAAATAGCTTTTAATTGAAGCAATGTGGGGTCTAGACATCAATAAACTCAAAATTTTGAAATTTATAAACTTAGAGTTTCAATGGAATTTTTTTTTATTTTTTGTTGAAATAGATGTTTTAGATAAGAAAAATTGTGTTTTGATTTTTGAAAACATGTTAGAAATATTTTAATCGATGCCAAATCGTAAAAGTAAAACAACAAGAAATGAAGAGAGTTGAAATGATTTGAAGTTTGGGTTTATAAGCAACAATAACATTTTAAATATTAAAGTATAACAAAATTTTTTAAACATGGTGTGTAACAATAATATTTTTTTTCAATATGGCACGTAATAACCTTTTTTTAACCATGGCATGTAACCTGTTTTATACATGATGTGTAACAATATAATTTTTTTTCAATATAGCATATAACAACCTTTTTTAATCATAACGTGTGATATGTTTTTGTACATGACCTGTACCAATAATATTTTTTTCAACATGACGTATAACATCATGTGCATGGCGTGTAACATTATGTGCACGACATGTAACATCTTGTGCACTTGATAGAAAGAGATTTAATACATAGCATGTAATATATTTTTGTACATGACGTGTAACATCATGTGCATGTGATATAAAGAGGTTTCATTAGGGGTAATTTTATCCAACTCAACTAAAAATAGTTAAAACTATAAAGAAGGTTATTTTTGAAAATATTTTATTTTTTATGGTTATTTCTTAAAATTTCCCTTAATTAAATAGAAGATGGATTTCCATGCAGTCTCAGATTATTTTCAAAATTATTGATGTACCCTTGTTTCAACAAAAATAAAAAGATAATATGAGTAATATAAAATCCTCCATAGTAATAATTTAGGAGATATACACATGTAAGCATGGCAAAAACTGAAAAAAGAAGGGGGATTCTCCTACCATTATATATTATCAGTTAAACTAAGAATTACATTCAAATAAAGCTAAAAACAGAGGAATAGTTCTCATAAATAAAAACCACAGATTGTAAAGGAAAATGCCTCCTTTGACGATGTCCAAGCTCATCTCACTTGGACCTGTTGCTTGCAACAATCAACTTAAATGCCATCCAACTGTCTCTTGAACTTGTCCTTGGACCTTGCATAACCTATATCACAAACAACATTGCAGTTGATTTAATTGTAACAAAGTTTTTTTAGCGGTGCAAATTTAAGAATCAAAGCTAAATGTTACAAAGTTTTTTTAGCGGTGATAATTAAATTGCGTCATGTTTCATGTAAAAATTAATAACGCATGCATGATAAATGTCTCGAAAAGTATTTAATGATAAATGTTTCCAAACTCCTTTGAACAACATAACTTAGTTTAGTTGTTAAAATAAATGAATTTTGCATAAACATTTAATTCCATGATCAGTCTTAGTTAAAATTATTAGTGTTTTTAGGTATGGAACCCCAATAAAAAGTTGCCACCCTTCATCCTTGTTCATTTCCTTAACTAGATTTTTTGAATTTGATTATTCTTAGTACTTTAATCCACCAAACAATAGAATAGTACCAAACAATAAATTAAAATGAATAACTTAGGCAAAATATGCAATTATCAAGAACTAAAAATGTCTCACTAGACTACACTATACAAGTAATTCCAAATTTAATTTAAGTTAATATTATCTTCTTAAATGTTGATAGCTTATTTATGGTATATGAGTGTGCAACTGGAAATGCTTTTCTTGCATCTTACCTTGTATAGATTATTGGTCAAAATACTTACAAAGTCCCTATACTGATACATTTTGTTCAATTTAATCTCTATATTCAAAATCAAAATTATTCTTTGATTTAGTCTCTCTCTCTAATAACATCTAATTTTACAGTTAAAAAGGATGACGTCAGCACTAACATGATGCTAATGTGGCACACTTTAGTGACGTGGCACTGACATGATGATGTGATAGTGCCACATGGCATCAACAAGATGATATAGCGGTGTCTCATGGCATTAATACAATGACTTGGTAATGTTGACGCGGCACTTACATGCTGACATGTCATTATCACGTGATAGATAATTTTTTTAAAAAAATTATGTCATGTCATAGGGATTAAATTAAATAAAAATGTATAATATAAATATTAAATTGAAAAAAATTAAGATGTTGAATGACAAAATTAAAAAAAATATTTGAAAAATATAAATCTTTAAGTAGATCATAAATATACTTATTAATAAGTTAATATTCAAATATAAAAGATTTATAATATTAAAACATATATATAAATATTTTTTTACTTAATTATTTATATCTAAGTTTATCTACTGCATAAAGGTGTTAGATTTTTTCATGGCTGTCATACTAATCAATTTTGTGGTTGCTTTTCCAAGGTTGGTATTAGACGGGTCAACAGACAGGGTTCTTCAACTCCTTCGATATTCTACATTTTCCTCATCATTGCTGCTGCATTGTTTAATTGGATGTGTATGGTAAGTTTCTCCTGAACTCTGCTTCATCTACCATTTTTTACCTTTTGTATCCATCTGCTAATGCCAGTATTTTTTCATTTGGTAAAATTTGAGAAAGGTGAGATTCAAGATTATTTTTAAAAGTGAATAAAATAGAACATAACATTAAACTAAATGATCCAATGGAACTAATATCAATATTTAGGTATTATAAAATAAACTATATTTAAAATTTATAAAATCTAATTATAAAAATGAAAAATACAGATATTTATTATTAAACCAAATAATCAGATGTAACTAATATCGTTATTCAAATGCAACTAATAACAATACTACCGATATTTAGATATGATAAGTCAAGTATTTTTAGAAATTATAAGTTAAAAATGTACTATTTACATCTCTTAATTGTCACTTTGAAATGAATCTTTTTTCATTAGCATGTGAATTAAATGCACCTTAGGTGAACAAATTTCTTTCATCAAATTTACAAAGGCAACCACTAGTATATCTGGCAAACAAGAGAGGAAAACATGGATGCTCTTACATATTCTGCATATAATGCATTTAGAGATTGACTCAATTCCTAGTCCATGAGATACTTTTAACATATTGCTTTGACTATAAACCCTAGATGAATGCAGTTGGTATTGGAGTATGTACATCAAAGGCATTAGATTCCCATATATCAAGTTTTGTTACTAGAAGATTAATGCAATAGCTTAACTTTTTTTTTCTTTGTCTACTTATTTTTTCAAACTATGGTACTGGACAAGGTATTTCGTGAGATCAATCTTTGGTCATGAAGCAGTACTGCAAAGTACCAGCCAAGAATTGAATGTCCTCTTTACTACTCTAATTCAGAATTGCGACAAAAATGTCCTGATAATTACCAGTCAATATTTGAGTTTGATGAATTGTCAACTTAAACTTGTTCGAACTATTTCTGGTAGATCCACCATGATTTACATCACTAAAAAAGTTCAGGAATTACAAAAGAGATGATTGAAAGAGGAAAATCGAGTGCAGAGCTTAGACGAGTGATTGTTAAAGGCAAGGTCTATATGGAGAAGTTTGGTCAGCCTTATGAAACTAGGGATTTGTTTACACTTTGGGTCATTTTGCAGCTTCTAAGGTTTTGCCCTAAAAAGCTACCAGACTTGGACCTTTTGTTTTTTATTGAAGACAAGACAATGGTCAGGATAGGGGACTACCAAAGACCTAACGCTACATCACTACCACCGCTGTTTCATTATCGTGGAGAAGAGGATGCACTCGACATTGTGTTTCCTGACTAGATCTTTTGAGATGGTAAATTCTTGTACATATTACCATAACACATTAGTATTGGGAAAAAAAAAAGAAAAAGACAACTACCAAATTTTTATTGCAATAATTAACCAGCTAGTCTTCTTTACTTTGTTTTGCTCTAGCAGGGCTGAGGTCAATATAATGTTGTGGGAGCAAATGCTAAGTGCAATAAAGAATGGTAGCGAGAAGACCAAATGGGAAGATACGGTTCCTTATGCCTATTGGAAGGGCAATTCATATGTTTCTTTAGAAAGAAAAGACCTTTTAAAATGTAACCTCTCATATAAATACAATTGGAATGTTCGCCTTTATTCTCAGGTAATTATTGAAAATTGTATTTCTTTTACCACTTGGAGTCTTTGATGGTCTTCTATAGTTGGATTGATTGAAGTCATAGGAATATTAGCTAATGCCCAAGACAGAAAATTACAAAGTCTAGACAAAATTAATAATTTATTCTTTAAAAAAAATTCCGAAATTGGACCAAAGAAAATGAAGAAGGTTCAAGCATTCTAAATTGGAAGATCAGTGCACCCATAGGTATATGTGAGGCCTTTCTTATCTCATTTTATTGAAGGTTATTTCTTTGTTTCCTTTATTATAAATTTCAGATTTAAAACACTCATTACTCTTTTTTGTTGATACTAATAAAGATTTTGAATTTTGCTATGGTACCATCCATACAAAGATATAAAATTTATGTAGGAATGACATGGTT